AGATTTGTTATTTTGGCTTCTTTGTGTGGAGCGTATGTGTTGCTATACTTTTATTTGGGGAGAGGAAGTAGATTATCTAGTCCAGAGTCAATTTCACAGTGATAAATATGTCTAATATGAAAGTCCTGCTCTTTTCTGCCTCCTTACAACATCATAGGAAATTTTCGTGATTAGTAGCTAAGCTTCCATAGCTCAGCTTCTCCACCTAGTGGCCTGAGTATTACTGAAGTTTGAAAATTAGAGAGCAATTCCCAGCCTATCTTTACATTATAAAGCAGATTAATTTCCAACAACTTACCCCTATGGCTTGACTCTCTGGACCCAAGAGGTTTCTCCCCAAGAGTATTTGATTCCAAGTATCAACAACCAGCAGCTGCAGTTGCCTCAGTGTTGTCTTCAGCTTCTATATGTTTCCGTTGGCCAAAAAACGCACTTCAGCCAACAGTGGCAAGGCAGGTCCACCAGAAAAGGACACCTGATTTCCATGACAAATATGAAAATGCTATTTTGACTAGTGGAGCCACTTTCTGTGTTGCTACATGGACATATAGTGACTGGAAAGGAGGGGGAGAGACACAGAGAGAAGCAATGATGTGAGAGAGAGAGACATTGATTGGTTGCTTCCTGCATTTGCCCCAACCAGGACCTGGGATCAAGCTGCACTCAATAGCAACACAAGTTGGAATAGAATGGGACCTGTCCCCTGTTGGCAGAGTCACCCCAAAGGAATGGAGAGATGGGTAATCATCCTAGTTGGTGTGACAATGAATTGTTTCAAAACCAACTCATAATTGACGGCAAGTGAAAGCTCTGTGTACCCATTTAAAATATGGCATGATGGGAGAAATATAGTACATTTGAAACCTCCACAAAAACCTTTGCTCAATCTTGGAACTATTTGAACCACCTATGGGCAGGGTATATGCTGTTTGCTCAAGCTGCCACAAACAGGGGTTGGGACAGACAAATTCATACTGGTGAGGAGTCAACAGCAGTCCTACTAAGCTCTCATGTCCATTTTGTCTTCCACCTCAATGTTGAGAAAGTCTGTTTTCCTGCTGCTGACCTCCAGGTAGTGCAGAAGGAAACTGAGGCAATCCCCTACAAAGACAGGCTCAAGTCTAGACAGCAGCTATGGGGACAAGAGTGATGCATGATGAGTTTGGTATGGCACAACTAGTAATCCAGTTTCTCCAACACTCTTTTTGCTAAGCTTCCTACCCACATTGCTCCTGACTGTTGTGGGTATGACCTCTATATTACTCCAGGACAAGCAATAAAGTATTTTGCATTTCCTTTTATTTTATTTCAAGGAGCTCCATGAGGGCAAGCTGGTATCTGCTCTGCTCACCTTTGAACCCACAATGCCCAGAATACAGTATGAACTCAAAATTGATTTGTTGAAGGAATGGAGGAATGCGTGAGTGACCGAACTAGAATCAACTATCAAATATAAAGATAATTAAAAAATATATAATGATTCTTGTCTCCAAGTTTTTTTTAACCTCATTTTTCTATTGAGACATACAGTAAAAAATGCAATCGTTTTGATATACAGCTCTCTGAATTATGAGAAATGTATGCAGTCATGTAGCTACTACCACCAAATACAGAACAACAGAACAAATTTCTTCTTGCCTCTTGAAAGTGAACCCCTCTCCCATCCCTTTTCTTAGCCACCCCTGATATGTTTTCGGTCCCTACAGTCTTGCCTTGTCCTGACTTGAATATCACAAAAAGTAGATTTTAAGTCTGGCTTCTTTCACTTAGCATAATTTGAGATTCAGCCATGTTGCTACATACATCAGTAGTTCAATCCTTTTTATTACTGGGCAGTATTCCTTTGTGTGAATGCAACACTTAAGCCATCACTTTTTGTGAAGCAATTAAAGTAACGCAGCTATAAACGTTGTATGCAAGTTCCCTGGAGGTCTTCATATTTCATTTCACTTGGCTAGACATCTAGGAGTGGGATTGCTAAACTGTACGGTAAGGTTATGTTTAACTTCTTAAGAAACTCCCACACTGTTTTGCCATGGGCAATGCACAAGACTTCCAGATGCCCCACATCCCTTGTTAACACTTGGTATTAACAGCTTTTGTTATGGTTTTCAGTGTTAGCCATTCTAATGGTATGTAATGGTACTGCATTGTGATTTTGATTTACATCTCCTAATGACCATAGTGTTAAGCATCTTTTCATGTATTTATTTGCCATCTCTATATTTTCTTTGATAAAGTGTCTGTTCAAATATTTTCCCATTTTTTTTTATTGTGTGTCTGTTTTCTTCTTAGTCAGTTTTGAAAGTTCTTTATATATTCGGAAAAAAAAATCTTTTTATCAGATATATGTCTTGCTATTATTTTCTTTTGTAAAAATAAACCTTTATTGTTCAGATTATTACAGTTGTTTTTTCCCCCCCTTAACTCCGCTCCACCTGGTTCCCATCCCACCCATACCCTTAGCCCCCATCACTATCCTCATCCATAGGTGTGAGACTTTTGTCCAATCTCTTTCCCCACCCCCACATCCCCCTGTCCCCAAGAATTGTCAGTCCATTCCCTTTCTATGACCCTGATTCTGCTATATTCACTAGTTCATTGTGTTCATCCGATTTTTTATTCACTTGGTTTTTAGATTCACTTGTTGATAGATATGTATTTGTTGTCACTTTGTTGTTCATAACTTTTATCTTTACCTTTTTCTTCTTCCTCCTCTTCTCAGAGACTACCCTTCAGCATTTCATATAATACTGGTGGCAATGAACTCCTTAAGCTTTTTCTTGTCTGTGAAGCTCTTTATCTGACCTTCAATTCTAAATGATAGCTTTGCTTGGTAGAGTAATCTTGGTTGTAGGTTCTGGCTATTCATCACTTTAAATATTTCTTGCCAGTCCCTTCTGGCCTGCATAGTTTCTGTTGAGAAACCAGCTGACAGATGTATGGGTACTCCCTTTTAGGTAACTGTTTTTCTCTTGCTGCTTTTAAGATTCTCCCTTTGTCTTTTGCCCTTGGCATTTTAATTATGATGTGTCTTGGTGTGGTCCTCTTTGGGTTCCTCTTGCTTGGTGTCCTTTGTGCTTCCTGGACTTATAAGTCTATTTCTTTAACCAAATGGGGGAAGTTTTCTGTCATTATTTCTTCAAATAGGTTTTCAATATCTTGCTCTCTCTCTTCTTCTGGCACCTCTATAATTCAGATGTTGGCATGCTTGAAGTTGTCTCAGAGGCTGCTTACACTATCTCATGTTTTTGGATTCTTTTTTTCTTTTTGTTTTTCTTGTGTGTTTTTTCCTTCTAAATTTCAAATCTTTTACTTGATTCTTGTTATCCTCTAGTCTGCTCTTGTATCTCTGTATATTATTTTTTATTTCAGTCAGTGTACGCTTAATTTCTGATTGGTCTTTTTTCCTATCCTTGAGGGCCTCACTAAATTTCTAGGAGGTTTCTAGAAGATTCTTGAGTGACCTTATAGCTATTGTTTTGAACTCTATATCCAATATTTTGCTTTCATCCATTTCTTTCATTTGTGACTTGGTTCTTTGTCTCCACATTTTGGGTGCTTCCCTGTGTTTGTTTCTATGTACTGGGTAACTGCTAAGTCTCTTTGAGTTGATAGAGTAGCCTTGAGTGGTTGGTGTCCTATAGGGCCCAGTGTCTCAGCCTCCCTAGTCACATGAGGTGGATGCTCTTGGTGCACCTCTTTGTGGGCAATTTTTCTCTTGCTGCTTTTAAGATTCTCTCTAAGTCTTATTGTAGTTGAGCCTTGATTGCTGTTGGTATCACTGGGAGGAATTGACCTCCAGGCCAATTGGCTGGAAAGACTAGCTGTGTCTTCAATGGAAGATTTGTTTCACAGGAGACACCCTTATGGGGAAAGACTTGCTTCAATGGGGCTTTGATGCTCCCTGAGTCTGCCCCTTGAGTGTGTCTGTTATGTATGTGAAGAGCTGTAATCTGGTATGGTCTCACACTGACCACTGGGTACACTGGCTCTTGGATCTCCAAGGAGGTGCTAGGTCAGCCACTGTCTGGGGCTTCCCAGCAAGAGCAACAGAGATATCTGTAGATTCCTCTTCTTTGTACTGGGTTTAGAAGTGACCAGACGAGGCCCAGCTGTGAAGCAAGGCTGGCGGGCTTTAGGCCTTCTTTTGGAAGCTCTAGGGCTCTGTGACCCAGGTGCAATTTGATAGGTTTTAGGCAAAAGCACAGGTCATTCATATGCAAAAGCCAATGCAAGCAGCTTGGGTGGGGTTGTATATTGGTTGGGGTGGGGTCGCTGGGAATTGCCAGGGCAGAGCAAACAGCTGAGTCAGCCCTGAACCTGAGAAGTCCCAGATTCGGTTCTCCGGGTTCTCCAAATCCTGTGCTCTGGTGCAGGAATAATGATTGCTGCAAGCCCCTCTAAGAGAAAGCCGCCCTCTCATTCCTGTTCCAATGCCAGACAGTCCAGTTTGTCCTCATATGTGTCTGGGTCCCCCAGAGTCTCACCCGGAACTGGAGTTCAGAGCAAGTGGGAGCCTGTATCTTCCTCCCAATTAAAAGAGCAGCACATCCAAGTGCAGCACTTTCCATGCCTCCACACAGCTTACCAGTCTCAATGTGCTTTCTTCACCTCTCTAGTTGTGGAACTTCCACTCAGCCAGCTTTCCTATGGTTCTGGGTGGTAGTTCTGCCTTTTAGTAGTAATTTTGATGTGGTTGTGAGAGGCATTTACCTATGCCACCATCTTGGATCTCCTACTGTCTTGCTATTATTTTTCTACTGGGGTAGCTTCATTTTAATTTGCTTTAAACTTTTATTGTCTTAAAACCAAATCCCCCCTTCTCATTCTTCAAAGGATACAAAATGGTTTAATAAATTTAGGCGTCTGATGGGGAAACTGCATGGCTGGTCTGTAATTGCAGATGGGGCTTCCCCAGGGGTTCAAAGCTCTCATTGACCAACACTTCTGCTAAGAACAATGGGCTGGTTCTTTCAGACTCTGACATTTTAGGAAGTTGTGCACGTGTGCACCTCTGACTTTCTCCTCGGGCTCCTCCCCTCTGCAGAGAGATGGTCTTCTCCTTTTAGCTCGTTCTGCACCAGTGGCCAGACTCACGCAGCCCCATCTCTGTCAGGAGCTGCAACTGTCAGAAAGCAAGGGCAGCTGAGGGGAAGGCACCGGGAGGACTGAGAGGATGGGCAACTCTCTGCTGAGGGAAAACAGGTGAGTGAAGACTTCCTACAAAATGCCAGAGGAGATGGGTCAGGGCAATGTAGTCAGAAATAGAAAAAGAGGTCTGCTCTTGGAGGAGGCGGGAAGGGAATTGAGTAGAAACTGAGAAGCGTGAAGTGCCTGCTATGTACCAGACACCAACTTCAATTTCTTATAGATTTGGCCTTTTCCTGAAAATCATAGTGAGCAGCTGGTGAAAACAGCTGAAAGGAGAGGACTTTATCCAGGGAGGACTACGGTATGCAGTAGAACAATTTTCTGAAGCCCAGGAAGGAATGCTCTCCTGAGCTCTTAATGCACCATAAGAAGCTTAAGACACTACCACCTTTTTCTTTTTTTAATATATTTTTATTGACATGAGAGAGAGAGAGAGAGAGAGAGAGAGAGAGAGAGAGAGAGAGAGAGAGAGAGAGAAACATCAATGATGAGAGAGAATCATCAATCATCTGCCTCCTGCATGCCCCACACTGAAGACTGAGCCCACAACCTGGGCATGTTCCTTGACTGGAGTTTGAAACATAACCTTCTGGTTCATAGGTTCACAATCAACTACCGAGCCACCCTGGTCTGGCAACACTTTAATCACTATTTAAATTCAAAATAAATAGCAAACTTCTTGCCATTATGAGGTCATGTCTGTCACACTTCCTGCAACAGGTAAACAGGGGTCATTAAAATTAGAAGAGAACTTAACTTTTCTGGACCTCAGTTTTCTCATTTCAAATGGCAATAGTAATACAGTGTAATATCTACCTTGAAGGGTTCTAATTTGTGTGATGCTAGCATAGTGCCTGGTACATAGTAGGGTTCAATAATTAGAAGGTAGTTTTTTTTTACAATGATCTTCATTAAAATCAAAACAGAAATTAGCCAAAAGCAAACCCATCCTTTCCCACTTACTGGTTGGGGATCTTTAAACAAGTTGCCAAACTTTTGGCCTCAGTTTCCTCTTTAGTAAAAAAAAAAAAAAAAATATATATATATATATATATATAGTATTTTTATATCTGGGATTAAATAGAAAATGTATATATTATATACAGTATATACCTTTATTAGTAGTATACATAGTATATATAGTATATTTAGTATATGTAGTATGTATAGTATAATAACTAGTATATATAATATGTATTTGTATACATATATAAAGCATATAGTAAGTAGTGTCTAATTGTTAGTTTCTTTTTATTAATAACCCCAGCAAATGAAAAGATGGTTTTACAGAAACCCAATCCAAACAATAAAACAATTTATTGGTGGGTTTTTTGTTGTTTTTGATAACCCTCACCCAAGGGTATTTCTCCATTGATTTGTAGAGATAGTTAAAGGGACAAGGACCCCAACTTGGGCCTGGGATTGAGCCTGAAACTGAGACGCATGCCTTTGACCAGAATCAAACCCATGACGCTTCAGTCTGCAGGCCAACACTCTATCCACTGAGCCAAATGGGCTAGTGTGGGGTGTTTTTTTGTTTTGTTTGTTTTTTTAATTTACTCCTTTTCCCCCTTATATCCCATGCTTTCTGTCTTGGTGCTTTCTGTGAAAGAAGGCAATTTACACAAAACAAAACCAGTGTCCTCCCCATTCCTGTGTATAATTCCTAAAACTGCACCAAGCAGATAAGCCTTTCTAAGGATCATCATGAGAATTCCAGACATTTGGGAACAAATTATTTGGACTTGATTGTGCATAGAAAACATTGACAGGCTCTTGTTAAGGAGAATGTCAGGTAAAAGATTGTGGTGTAGGCTTTAGGGAGGCATAAGTGAAGGCAAAAAGGGGAAGCTGAGGTGATCTGAGGTTACCACACAAATAGCAGAAATAAAGAAAGTTGGAAAAATGATGAAGAGAGGTGGGAAGCTTGGAAATACTTAACTCAGTCCTGGTATGTTGAGTTTTAGGTGTCAACAGAACACTCAAGAGATACCCTGGGACCTGAGAAATCAAAACCTCAAGCAGAGAACACCCAGGTCAGAGCAAACCCAGCAGAACCTCTCCCAGCCTTTTCCCATGAAGAGGGAAGTCAGATCCTGGGCACCCTTACCCCACCATAGAGGAACCTGCTTAAACCCAACCACAGTTGTAATGATAGTAAATGAGTAAACAAGACAAAACACAAAATCATTTTGAACCTTTAGACAAAAGATGTGCCATCTTTCTAGAATCTTAGTATAACTTGTAACAACTATTGTAGAAGACTCCAATTTTCTATTGTCTCTTTGCTTATCTACCTGAAGTACCTATGCATTCAAGTTCCATCCCAGACATTTCAGTTTTAAGGTTCTATTTCTGAAATGACTATATCCCCCCTCATCCCTACAATTGTTAGAAGATTTGTATAGTAAAACATGTGTGATTACCTGGATGCAGTTAAACCAAGACGTCCTCATCAGTCCTCTCTAACCGAGTCCTCTGAATGCCAGGAATCACTAATATGTGGAAATAGTTCTCAGAGTCCAAGAATCCCAAAGGGTGCCAAAGCCAGTTGTTTTGTGGCCTGTAGAGTCATCTTCACTTTCCCCATGACTTCAAGACAATGTTTTAAAGAATATCAATTAAAAAGCAACCATTAAGCCAAATCTTGAATTAGGAGTTAGGGTTCCGGAGATTCCTTCCAATAGTATGCATTTCTTCACTGTAAGCTAAGGACATATGTTAATCCATGCAGTCCAAGTGATGAAACAGGACAGAGGGCCATGAACATTATAACAAGGGAGATATCAGGTAGACTGGAGAGCCAGGCAAACTTTGTGCAAGAGACTGGAACCTGGAACTGCTGGCCCATGGTCTTGTGTCATAGACATTCATCTGGCCTCCTTCACAGAGATTATCTAAACCCATCCCAAAACAAAACATCTTAATTAAAATCTAAGAATATATTTCAGAAACATTGAGTGGGAGAAATAGCTTTAGCTTATATTTAGCTTTACTTGACCTCCAGGAGGTAAGCAGTGTAAGCATCCTCATGTTATAGATTAAGAAACTGTGGTTTAAGAAGTCTAGAGAGATTGAGCCAGTAACTCAAAATCAGTAGTCTCCTTTTATCCCGCTCCCATATCTCTCCCATGAAACTGATTTCTTAGCTTTGGTGTGATTTCATGGTTTTCTTCTGATGTGTCTTTAGCCTCAGAAACAGAAGATATAAACAAATGTCTTAAAGTACTCTGAATATAGCCTGAAGAGGACACACTATAGCCATGACTCTCAGCCCCAAAGGCTCTGATGGTACATTCACCCTAGACCACTCAGCCACTCCAGTGCCCACAGCCAAGGTCACGTGCAGCAGCCTCACCTCCACTGCCCTTTCTGGGGAGCTTCCTGGGAAAGCTCACTTGGGAAGATGTTGGGTGGTGTTTTCCAAAAGTCTTTACATAGTGTTACTGGAACACACAGTGTTCATGTGGGATTTGACTGCACCTCATCTTCAAAAAGATGCCCAGAGGATACTTTAGACTTCAGCTGAGATGTCTGCCTGCATGAAGATCTGGCCTTTCTACCCTAAAGAATATAACAAAGCAGATTTGATGATCTACTGAGCCAGTTAGTGTTGCTCTTCTTAGATCCTTAATTATTTATCAAATATTTATTAAAAATATATTTTCTGTGTTCCAGGTAGTGTGGCATATGTTGGTGATATATATCATGATGTTAAGCATGATCCCCATATTTATGAAGCTCATGGTCTACTTTGGGATATACGTAGACAAGCAAGGAGGCAATTATAATATAGTGTGTCCAGAGGAAATTCAGAGTGCAGTGGAATCCTGTGTACTAACCCGGACCTTTTACCAAGTTCTAAAATGTCCACACACTTATGCCTTGACTTCCTGGAGATAACTCTGTGTGTCCATCATTACCAGGGGCCATGTAACTCACTGGAAGTGAGAATGAGAGCCTTTTTCCTTTTCTGAGAACACAGAAGAAGGCTTCTTCCCTAATCAGGAGTTGATAGTGTCATCTGCATCCTTCCAAATGGCAATTAATGTCCTGAAAGGACAAAGGCATCCTAGCATGATAGATGTGTCCAAGTCACCAAGAATGAATGCTCTCTTGGAGAGAAAAAAAAGAAAAAGAAAAAAAGAAAAAGATCTTCACAGGGAAGACAGTAACCTTAACAAAGCTGTAGAAACCAACCTTGTGATCTGTGTCATCTCTCCGGTATTTTAGGTGCTGGGACCGCCACATGGCTGAAGGGTGTTTCTGCCTTCCATGGTGAGTGGAGTATTGTTTTCAGGAGTTATTTCCCTACGTGTGGTTTGAGTGTGGTATTTGCTGTAAGTTACCTGTGAACTCCCTGCTGTCTGTGGCCACAGCGGAAGCCTGTCACTAGCCCTGATGATCATCTGACTTAGTCAGAAAAGCAATGTTACAAGTTTGCTTCAAAAAACAGGAACAAGTGTCTCATGGGTGTGACATGCTCCTCAAATGGGAAAACCTCTGAAGCAAGGATAAAACTAGCTACCAGTGCAGAGGAAGATCCCTTACCCACACGGCAAATCTCAGAGTCTCTGTGTACAGCACACATTTCTGTCCTTTGCACAGAAACTGTATAGCCAAGGTGATCATATAAGTCGTTATCCAAACTGGGAAAACTTTGAGAGTGACAGGGATGCTAAAAATAGTTCAGAGTCACTAAATGGTTGGTAACAACATTTAACTAGACTGTCCTAGCAAACCAGGACATATGGTCATTCTCCTTAGAGCAGATGCCATCCTTGACTCCTGAGATAATAGGGCTTCTATTATATTTACGTTGTGTGCTTTCCAGGGGGTCATCTATACAGTGTGGTTATCTCTGTGCTCATATTGGACATATCTGTTTTGTTCAGTTCTTTGTTTAGAGATCATGGATTGGGATTAAGGCTGGTATTTGAAGTAACAATGGCTCCTTTCATATCACATGATATGAAAGAAATTAATATTTTGTCAAAAAATCTCAAAAAATGCTACTATAAATCACCGTAATTTTTTACCTCTAAATTAATTTCATATAAGCCTTAAAAAATGGAGAAGAAGAGAGAGAAAAAACAAAGAAAAAAAACTAGATTTTACTTGGTCTCCTTCCCTTTTCCTTTTTTTCTCTGCTATTTCTCTATGCTGAAGAAAGTAATAAAAAAGACCTATAACTTTAACAAATGAAAAAGTTAAAAATAAACTTTTATAGAAGGTATAATTTCCTTTGAGAATTTCTGAATTTTGAAACAAGCAATTTATTTTCCTTCTCTTTTGCAGGAAAAAGTTACACATTTTTAAAGCCAAGCAAGATTTCCCAAAGGAAGGTAAGTTACTGTTTTCACATCATTTTCACTTTTGATAGACTTATACTTTCAAACTGCCCCTTCTCTGAGTTCTCAGAGCTCTGTGGGCATATTTCTGTACAAAACTTACATACACATTTTTGCAGCAATTTGTCCTCCTGTATGGCTCTGTTTCTCCACTAAACTGTGAGCTCATTGAAGCAGGGATTGGCTTATTGATCTCCATATGCCTCTGTTAGTCCCTAGGTTTGGAGGCTGAGTGGGTTAACTGGGAACAATAAATGCAAAAGGTGGAGGTCTGGAGCAGCAAGAAGGCCAGCTTGGGCACAGAGGAGGGGCAGGGCCTGGTGGTCACATTTAGGAAAGGGGCTTCTCTCTTGAGAACTGCAGGGCTTTGGACAAGGGACATTTAAGACATCAGCCAGGTTGCTGTGCAGAGCACCAATTGTGGTCAGGAGTGGCAAAAGAAAGTGCTAGAAGATCACCTAGGAATTGATGCAATGGTCTCTGGCGACAGAACATGGCAAAGGTTAAGGAGAGAAAAGGATTCGAGAAGGAGAGAGTGGTGAATGGTATCACAAGTAAGAAAGAAAATAAGAAAGTATAGCCACTGCATTTCTAAAGAAGAAACACCAAGTTTGCCTTCACCTTCCTGGGCTTAAAGAGGAGAGCCTCGCTCATTCATTCTGAATCAGGCTTAGAGACTAAGTCTGTAAGGTGTGTGAGTGAGTAATACAGCCCTCGCACCCATGGCCCTTGTACCCAGGGGAATTGTGGTTCCTAGGAAACCCTAATCTGCAGCAGAGAAAAACATGGTATAAACAAGGCCAGTTCTGCTGAAACTCACACACCCTTTTCCTGTAGGATAATCAGGGGAGCCCAGCAAGGCCATGGGACTTCATGGAGCTGGGAGCCTCCTGAGTGTCAGTAGGGAGGAAGAACAAATCCAAACCCGTAAGATCAGGTGGCTAACAGGGGTGCACCCACCTCCCAGGTAGGGTGGTATCATGAGGCTTCCATGTGAAAGCTCAGATATTGTGCTGGTGTGTTTGCAAGGGGTAGCAAGTGTGTCCGTTTGCCTCTTGGCTGAATGGCCAGGGCCAAATGCTTTTGAAAAATTGGCCTGCTTCTGTTTTTATCTGCAGCAGGTTCAGGAGTGGGAATGTTCAGCTTAAGTTTTCTCCTCTGCAAAGTTTTTCTTGAGCACCAGCCCCCACACTATCACCCTCCCCAGTTACCTACAGCCCTCCCCTGCATTGTGGGACTCTCATAGGCCCTTGCTTGGGCCAGCCTGTGAGCCCCTTAAGTACAGGGACAGTGTCTGGTTATTTGTCTTCTCAATGCCTGATACAGAGCAGGCATACAATGAATTCTGTGTAAAAAAAAAAAAGAGATGAGAAGGCAGGTGGGAGGGAAGTGTGATTTCTTAACTGAAAACCCCCCAAATAAGTCTCCACTCATCTCTCAGCCTGAGCACAGCTCTGGACCTGTCTTGTTTCGATGGCCTTGCCATTCTCCAGGATTAGGATAAGCTGTAGCCCTGATGAGGGCTATCCCAGCTATTGGTTGGCTCTCTGGTTGGTTGCTTATATCCAGCTCCCCCCCCCCCCCCGAAATCTCCCCATGACCTGAAATTCATTGAGTATATTTTCTTTCTCAGGTGGAAGAACATCCTCTCCTATCCAGCAGGTAATATAATACCTTTAAGCCTTTTCTGAGCTGATGGTTAAAAATGTGGACATTCCAAATGGCAGGATAAGTTGGCCTGCAAGACTCCTTCTGACTGAGACGTGAAAGCCATTAGGTGCTCATGCTTCTAAGCCTCGGATGTGTGTGGGCCTGATGGCAGAAGCGGCAGCACCTCTGTCGTACTGTGTATCAAAAGAAACAAATATTTACTGAGCACTTAGCTCATGCCAGGCAGTGTGCTGAGCACTTTGCATGCATCATCTCACATAACCGCCACAACAACCCTTTAGATTGGTCTGCGCCCACTCCCCTCCCCATTTTACAGATGACAAAACTGAGAGATTAAGTGAAATTCCCCAAAGCCAGACAACTTTTGAGATGGCAGCGGCCTGATTCAGAACCAAGCCTCACTCCCAAATCCTGGCTCTTTACAGTGTACTTTGCTTTTAATCTCCTGATGTTTTATTGAACAAGTGCTTTTCTTCCATCGTTTCCCTTTATATTATCTAGACTGGATGGTTCAATATCATAACCCAATCATGTTTAGGCATCATGAGAGTGTTCTCTTTTGTAAGAAGGGGTTGTTTTCAGGATCCTAATACTGGGAATTACATGGAATGGCCAGGAGTCCATCTAGAACAGAGAGGCAGAGAGCATGGGCCCGGGAAGGCTGAATACTCCAGGCATTATGAGTGTTCTGGCTGCCTGGGCTAGGTATGTAGGGAGGGGCAACCATTCAGGAAGAAAGGCCAGGGGATGTGGTTTGGGGAAGCGAGACTTTGCCCAGGGCCAAGCCTATGTTGAGACTGAAGCGTAAAGAGAGTGACAAGAGGCCAAGTCTTGATGATGGCTCTCCTTCGACCAGCAGGACAGCAGTGACCAGAACTCCGCAGAGGAGCTGTGCTACACCCTCATCGATCACAGGGTCCTGGGAAAAAGGCCATCAGGGAACTCTGCCGAGCAGTACTATGAGAACGTTCCCCACCAGGCCTGGAGGCCCAGAGAGTCTCTGAGAGGAACTGAGACTGAATATTCACTTCTCCATGTGCCTTCCACCCCTAGGCATCCACCTGCTCCAGAAGGTGAATATGAGCTTCTCCGTGTCCACTAGAATCTCCTCACACACCCTGCAAAAGCACGTCCACAATCACACCCTTCCGAGGTTGAGTTTTCCCATTCCTACTGAAGCATTGGACCAACATGTGTTCCACACCAGCACATAAAACCTGGGGCAGGGGGTAGGTGCTCTGCTTACCTGTCCCACCCTCACCGCCACCTGCACACAACAGCCCTTTCTACAAGGGTGTCTGCAGAACATGGTTTGTAAACCACGGAGCTTCTTAGATCCTACTCAATAGTCAACATCCAAAAACTGACCAATGATCCTGAAACCACCCTTTGAGAAGGGAAGGACTATATTTGGCTCCAAGTGGCTTTGGAAACTGGCTGCTGTGCTCAGAGGCGGGGGGGGGGGGGGGGGGGGGGTGTCCCTAGTCACAATGGTTTTTGCTCCTCTGCCCAGGTTCTTCTTGTAAAATATCCACACGTTTGTCCTTTGAAATCACAAGGAACCCACTCCTAGTGGGCCCACCTCCTCACTCCTAGCCTTCCAGGTGGGCCCGTGTATGTTCCACTCACTCCATGCTTCCAAATGGGTCCTCTGCATAGTGTCCTTGCATAATGTCCTTTCACTTTCTGGTTCTGGTGGCTTAGCCGGATACATGGGTTGATTCAGTACGTCTCAGGCCAAAATTGTATCATTTGAGTCCATATATTTTTTAACTTTGCATTTAAATCTTAATTTTAAAAAAATCATAGCATCAAAGAATGATAGAATAGAAAGATCTTTGGAGATCCTACTCCCACTATCTCTTTTTATAAGGGATAAAAAGGTAATGTTGCAAGTTAGTGGCAGAACCTTATCTGGAATCTGATTTCCTGGCTTCCAATTTAGTGTTCTTCCCATGTACTTGCAATGTACTCTACTCGATGTTATGTATGTACATTAAGTAATGTGTCCTGTATAAAATATGAATAAAATGTCCATGTGGGGAAAATAATACATACACATATCCCTTCTTTACAGAGTACTTCTTCATATGTTCTGATTATTTATTTTCCCTCATCTGTTCTTCAGTGTTCCTATAATTACACGTGCCCCTAAAAGAGAGGTCATCAACCGATGGCCTGTGGGCCACATCTGGCCAACTGCCTGTTTTAATAAATAAAATGTTATTGGAATAATACAGCCATAGTCATTTGTTTACCTGATATGTAATATCTGAGGTACCACAGGAGATTAGTTTGCAGACCCTAGCCCTAAACAATCAGAATTGAGATGAACTAAACAGAAATGTGTTTGAATATTAATGTAACTCATAAGAGCAGGCACCAATAAAATGGTATGGAAATATTAAACCACAAATTAGATGAGTGAGCCCAATAACAATTAACAAATTAGACTATTTCAATATTCGCACCTGTGTTTTCAACTTCCTGTTTTAACCCATGCATTGTCTTAATTTTAGGGATTTTAAAATAGTAAGAAATTTGTGAAGCCCATCACATCCTAGTATCTTATCCTCCGTTAACTTCTTGTTTTTAGCAGAATTCTTTCACATGGAACCATAACTTTGACACTTGACTAAGACTGACCAAAGTTCAAAAGGAGGCATGGGTGGTGGCAGACAATACTGTACAAGACATGAACATGGTGTAGGGGACAGTGTGTGAAAGCCAGAGTCAAATAATCAGTTATTTAAATCCTGGTTCTATCTCTTCCTCTCTCCATGACCTTCAGTATGGAACTTGGAGACTTAACTTTACACCCAGAAACAGGAAGATTACATCTAATGTATGTAAACCATTTAGCACAGATCCTAAATACATGGAGCAAAGGGAAACAAAAAACTTCACAATGTACAGAGAAACCACTGGTTGATGCACCTGGTAATCCAGGGTACCCATTAGTCCTTCAGCAAGGCAGAAACCCAGAATTTTGCATTTTATGCTGGAAATTTTCACTTGGATATTGAACTGTTGTGGAAGCTGATAGGTTCAAATTTTCTCAATATGACATGATAAGTTATATTTGTTTGAGTCTTACCATGTGACAGTATTAACTGTCTGAAACAGTATATGCCTTTTATCAGGGACATATTAAGCATAAATGCTTAACCAAAGAAAGTTGTTCTTATCATGAAATTTAAGGGATTATGAAAGGAAATTATTTTTTAGTAGAAGAGTCCTTTGGGGGTGCTTTGAAATACCTACATTGTCTGTATATATTGCTGATCCTTTTTACAGATTCAGGATTTCTGATGAAAGCTGTATATCCTCATCACAGAACATGCACACACACACACACACACACACACACACACACACACACAATATTTATATACAATTTTAAGGGGTGGAGGACACAAACCCTTAGTTAAAATATTCCTGTTCTTGATTTAAAAAAAAATGAGGCTCAGGATTTAAATTTTACTCTCAAGTCACAAATACATAAGAAAACTCCCCTCCCCCATGTTGGTCTCAAGTGTACACAACCGAAGTTCACGGAGGCACATTTTATGCAGCTATTGTGGGCTCTGTGGTTTTCGGTTTTAAGTTCATACTTGCACCTATAAATAATCCCTGAGTCAGTGACAAATTCTTATTTAGAACATAAAAGAGCAAAAATAGGTTAGGAAAATCGACAGTTGACAACAAATAAATTCAAATGTGGACAGTAGTAAGAGAAGCTTGGGTAACAAGGGCAACAGCTATTCTCAGGGGTGGAGGGGCATAGGCAGAATGAAAAAGGTGAGCCCAAGACTCCACAGAAGTCTTCAGAGAATAGGAGATTCTGTTTAAATTTCTGTGACTCTGTCTCTTCCAAGTCAGCATCTTGCATTCAAAAAGTAACTTGAAAGCCACTGGATCTGAGCATGCCGCAGCTCTTAGTCGATCCCCTTTTCCTACAAAGTTGTTTGCAAGGCACTTGGGAAAGGATTGAGCATCACCATAACTCCAGAATCTTCTACAAACTGATGATCACACTTCTCAACTCATCCCTGTCCTCTCTCTACTCATGCTCCTTATAAATTCCCCCTTATTAACTAAGCCTGAACTGAGCATGACCCTGGGGCACTGATCAGGGTGGGAGGCCATTGATGGTGTGTGGTTGCCTAGTGGGCTGAGCTGTGCTCCCCCACACTGGAGAGCTCTGGGCTTGTCCTCCCACCTGTCTGGGCTTTAGTTTCTGAACTATAAAAAGAGGGCACTTCCTTCGAACACTGAGAGAATATTTTTCTAATCATAAAGAAAAATATTAAGGGATGTGCCCGCATGCAGCTGCCAGAAATGCAGTAATAGTATGAATTAACTTATTTTACACTAATGGGACAGAAATGGAAGCAGAGGAAGGAAGATTTAGAGAAATAGCTCTTTTCTTTCCTTTTTTCTCAGCACTGGCCAGATTTTGAATGAGGCAAGGAGAGACTGCACCTGACCCTAATAAGACACAAATATAAGTAAAGAAAGACAAACCTTTTTATTCAAATCCCATTGCTGCTTCAGAGTCAGTTTTATGTCCTATTTCCCAGGCAAAGATTTTTCCAATTACTAGTATGCTATACTGAATACTCTTTCCTCTGACCACCCACAGCTCTATATTTTATCTTTATTTAATTTTAACACCTGACTTTTCCCCCCTGTTGTTTCTTGTTTCATTTATTCAGAGCCTGAATCCCTGTAAGACCAGAAGTTTCTTTCCTCATTTTTGTCTTCTTCTTTACTGGTGTCTTCTATAGTCTTCTGTAAAACTCATTATTAAAAAATCTACAGAACTAAGTTAAATTGTGAGGCAAAAAACAATTGAACACATGGATAGAATAGTGGGTTGGAATAGTGGGTTGTAGGTTCCTCTGATCTGGCTGTATCCTTTCTGTCCATATCTAAAGGACTTCCAGAAAAGATCTCATAGTGTTCAATTATTTCACAGATATTTGTTAAAACCTTATTATGCACCAGGCTTTATGTTTGTCATTAAAATGTGTGATGACGAATAGATCCACCTCTGAGAGTAGAGTATTGTACACAGAAGTGCAATTTTTTCCAAACCCTCCAAATGCTTTCATCACAAAGTTCAGGTCTTTCCGCACCACATGGGCTAAAGAGTGCACTTTATGGAAAATTCTATGACTCACAAGTGGTCAAAACCCAGGACAAGGTATTTGCATTTTGGTGCTTTCCGTAGGAGAAGGGAAGATGAAAACCAACCCTGTCTTGATCCCAGATACGAGCCAACCTTTCCTTCCAACTCCAGGCCCTTCGGACACCTGGGCCTGCCAGAGAGGGCTCTGTGAGGAAGTGGAAGGGATCAAAGCACCCGCCTTGCACTCACTGAAACAGAGAGCAGGACTCAGACCAACCCAGTTCAATCTTACTCCCTCAGAAGGGGAAGCTGCCCTCAGGGAAATGAAAAGATCACTTCCAACACCATTTACTGCAAGAAAACACCAACCCAAACCCTGGCCCTGGAGCATCGACATCAATGAAGCAAAGATAAATGGGACAGCACAGAGGGCAAAAATAATTTATTGTGAATATTTTAAATCCCTTTCCATGAAAAGTCTTCATTATTTTCTAAAAAGTACAAATACATTAAAGCTTACACTTGACATGTAAAAAAATAAAGAGGAAGAAGGATAATTTACCTGTTTTGCTAGTTTGCGGAACCATCCTCAGAATGAGGCAACGTTACAATAAATGCATCTTCTAGTTCAATAAGAAAGTTTTCACATTATCCAGAGTCCTGGGTCCTAAAGAGCTTAAGGCAAATCTACCTGAGACAAGACTTAGACACACACCCACACTCAGCTACCCCCCTATACTAACTTCCACCTAAGGTCAACCTAACTGAAATAGTAGACTAAAGAGCTCTCATTCTAGGACCACAAACTCTCCTGGAAATTTTCCAGCAATTTCCCCGAGAAAACAAAAATTCTGATCCCTCATGATAGGCAAATGACCGAGCCAGTTACCAATATTCTCCCACCCTGTTAAATGAACTGGCGTTAAGCTTATAACAGTTTGTTTCAGAGAGTGGTTCTTCCTGTTTCAAAACCATCTTTCATCAGATCTACAATCAAAGCCTGAAGACACTGAGTCCTACTAGAAGGCCCTAACACTGGACCATGAAAAGCCAGTGTGTAATATAGTTCTAGCTGATGGTGAGGGTTCTTAATGATTCTCTAATGGAGGTTGTGAAAATATACATGGGAAAACTCTCCAAAATGACAGCAGAGTGTTCAAAACTCACAGGGAATCATGTTTTTAAGAGAGGTGTCCACAGGAACAATGAGGAGATGCAAAATAATTTTAAAAGAACATTTCCTTTCCGCAGCTATTGATAACATGGTAACATTGGATGATGTGCCTACAGCTGGTTTGCTAAGAAATGCAGCTACAGGTCATGAATGTAGACACATGACTGTGTTGCTCTGGTCTTAAATGCCCTCCCTATCCTCCCAGGCTTGCTTAGAGGTAGATTAAATGTAATGCTGAGCGGGAGGGGGATTTCAGTGAGCCACTGGCTCAGTTCTCCCTCATCCTCTCCAACAGAACAGGCTGGTGGGATCTTGCTCAAAAGTCTACCCCAGCACTAAAGAGAAAGTGTCCACATGGAGGTTCTTAAAAAATAGCAGTGAATTTACTCCGCAAGGTCCACCCTGCCCCGTCACCCCTGCCCCATCTGGTTTCCTGCCTCTACAACCAGTGGGACCAGGGCAGCTCTTGCTGTTTTGCTGGATGTCCTACTGTGCACAATCAGGAGAAAAAAGACTGTGCCTAGCCCTCTCATCATTTCAAATTCTTCCAGTTAATTCACAGTTTCTTTTCTGTAAAATAGAATGCGTTATCTTCATCCCACAGCCCACGGAAACTGCTTCAGACACAGGCCGGCCTCTACCACATCACTCTGAAAAGAAAATACAAACAAAAGACGCTAAATGCTTAAGAATTATGATTAATTTAAACACTCATAGTTTCAGTTGACTTTATTTGGTTTGAATATATGTATAAAATTGGAATATTGTAAATTCCTAACAGGAAATTTCATCTTCTGTCAACACACACACACAAAACAAACTCTGAATCCTTTCCAAAAGGCAAATACCACACTGATCACTCTCATGTTTGGATATAATTTGTGAAAAATAACATTTGATGAGGCCCTTTGGATATGGAGGACATTTTAACATTCAGTCTTTTTTTCATGATCTCACTATAAAAACACCTCTAAATTTTCAGGGTTTTTTTTTTTTTTTTAAGGTGCACAGTGTGTCATGAGAAATCCAGATGAGGGAAATGGTGTGAGCCAGCCTGGTGAAGGGGGTGCTGTCCACGCAAGGACCTGGGGCACTTCATGCTCCACCACAGGCTTCTCCCAGTTGACTGGGGGCTGGGTAGTGCTTTGCAGCAGAGAGCAGTGTAAGAAGAATCCCTGACCTCACCACTAGATATTTGTAACCAACATACAATCTCATTAGTGACAACTAAATTAGTGACAGCCCTGCCTGGTGTGCTCAGTTGGTTGGGAGTCATCCGTGCACCCAAAGGTTGCTGATTGGTGCTCAGTCAGGGCACATGCCCAGATTGTAGGCTTGATTCCTGGTAGGAAGTATGCAGGAGGCAGTCGATATTCAACGTTGTGCTCTCACATCAATGTTTCTGTCTCCCTCTCCCCTCCTTTCTCTTTAAAAATCAATAAACTATTCTTTAAAAATATAAAATAAATGTCTCCAGCCATTGCCAAATATCCCTGGAGGGGGGTGGGTATAAAATTGCCCTCAATGAGGAATAGTGTTCTTTGGCTAAACTCTTCCAGTTTTCTGAAGAATCTATGAACAGCCAAAATGGTTTCCCTTGATGTCCCAGGGATAGGATTCCCTCTGGCTTCTCTGCTAGGAACCAGCTCATCAGTTTACCCCCCCCCCTTCCCCAAAACCTGCAAAGCCGATTCACTGTCCTCACTGCCTGGAGCCCCAACTGTCCTCTCCGCTCTCACAGAAACCTGGAGTTGCCTCTGTTGCCCTCAGTCTACCAACTGTCTCCTTCACATGTGAGAAACCTGTGCAAAATAGCTAACCCAGATCCAAAACAGATCCTGAAGACCCAATGAAGCCACTGTTTTACATTTGCAAAACAGACTTTTACTCCTTAGACTGGGACCCACCCATACATAATGTGAACAAGCTCAAAGACAGGGGAGGGAAGGGTTAATCCATTAAAAAAAAATGCCTTTCCCCTTGAGAGTATTATGCTTCAGTGAAATAAGTTAGACACTGTATGGCCTTGCTTGTACGTGAAATCTAAATTTAAAAAAAAGAAGAAGAAGAAGAAAGAAACTCATAGCAAAAGAAAGCAGATTGTCAGTTCAGAGGAGGATAATTTGGGTGAAGGAGGTTAAAAAGGACAAACTTCCTGTTATAAGATAAGCATTGGAGTGAAATATACAGCATGACGACATAGTTCACACTGCTGTATGGTACATTTGAAAATTCTAAGAGGGTGGATCCTAAAAGTTCTAGTCACAAAAGAAAAGAAAAAAATTCTCATTGTTAAAAAGAAAACAACAAACTCAAAGTGAAGTCACTTTCGCTAAGCCCCACCAAGACCTACTGCCTCAGAAAAAGGCTGAAAACCAATCAGCCTGGAATTTCCTGGTCAGCAAGAATGAGGTCACCTGCCTGAGAAACCCCCTGTCTTTCTGTAAGGGAAGGTCACCTAGACCGAAGCCCACCCATTCTTTTCATTTCCTTTCCCCTCCCTTTTTCTGCTTAAAAACACTTTCTATTTTTTACAATTGCTCTGAGCACCTCTTTGTTTACTAAGTGGGCTGCTTCCAGATCCAAGAGTCAATAAAGCCATTTAGATCTCTAAGTTTACTCAGTTGCATTTTTATTCCTTTACAGGAGCCGAATGAGATGACAGGTATAAACTGAACTTATTGTGGTAATCATTGTAAAATATGTGTGAAGTCAATTCTATCTCAAGACAATTCTAATAAAATTATATATACATTTTAAAATCCTTTCTGATTATTATAGTGAGGAAAGTTTTTATTTTTTATAAGGCATAAAAATATGCCTGCAGCTAAGTCAAATAGTCATTGTATTTTCAAATCAGAAAATGAGAAATATGCACAAAATATCCCAGGAACACAAATTAGAGCCTAATTTAAAGTTCTGACTCTAAAGTACACACACATATGAACCCAAAAGGAACCACAGACTGGCCTCAGAGAGCCCTCGGAATCCCTGAAATTGTAAACTGTTGTGTAGGGGGAGGAGTTGTGTGCCTTTTATTCTGGAGAGAAGATACTTGGTTGCCCTCATCCTAAGGGGTATACAAACCCAAAAATGATAAGAATCCCTGCTCTTTGAAGAATTAAAACATTATATTTATGAAAAACTAGTTGCCCAGCTCATCACAGGCATGGGGGTAACCTGCCAAGCCCCCAGCGCATGTGAGCCTGGGGAACTGAACTAAGCACCCACAGGGTTTCACTTGGGCCCTCCCAGGGGCCTCGCCTATCCCTGCCACAGCCATCTCTATTTTTTCATTGGAGTTTACCTCTCACTTGTTCTCTCTCTTGCCCTACCTGCCTTCTTTTTCTTTCCTCCCTTCCCAAATGGTCACTGTCTACCTTTCCATTTGAGAGGCGCCTGAGAGCCGGAGTTCTGAAAACATTCAATGGCTGAAATGCTGCTCAGGAGTGCTATGGAAATGGATGAGGGGTCACTGGATTCCCCAGAAGAAAAGATTGAGAGAAAAAGAACAATCTCCTGGGGAGCAGAAGCCGGCTGGCTTACGTGGTATCCCTGGGGCCAGAGGCAGAGCCTGACTGGGTTAAGTCTTTGAGGCTTTTCAGCTGAGCTGTCTTCTGGCCACTAAAGCAACACCCCCCTCCCCGCCCCCCTTTATCATACTTGCAACCTCACAATCCTCTGAAGCCTTTCTCACACTCCCCTCCCCCCCAACCCCCCTTCCTCACCTACATTTGGAAAAAGCTGGTAACCACAGTATGTGCAGAGAGGGCTCGGAAAATCAAGGCCAGTCACCACAGCAGGCGGCCACCGCATCTCATGTAGGGTGGATTTCCCCCTCTCACTTCTACACAGGGGGGGGCCAGGTTTCTTTCGTTCTAAAATTCTTGTCGAGGGTGCATAACCCCTCCGCTCCACACACATATGATGTCTGCCTGGCCCACAGACACACTTTACTTAACCAGATGCCTGTGAGGAAACTATTCACTTATGAGACTTTCCCAGTGAACTGAATTTTGGCCTTCTGGATGTCATTGTTTGTTTATTGTGTCTGTGCATGTGGCGGGGTGTGTGTGTGTGTGTGTGTGTAATAAAAAACTGCTTGCTAAAACTTTCTGCATTCTTAGGCCGAGATGAATCCACTTCACTTTCAGCCATCATGCTAAGTGCCCACTGTCGTGCTGAAGTCCCACGAGTGCTTTATAACCTCTCTGCCCCACTCTCCGGACGCTGGGCTGCTGGCACCGTGCCTGGTGCTACACGTCTCCTTCTCTTTGCCTTTTTCATTCTTTCCACTAGTATCTACTGCTAATGTGCAGAGAGTGTTTCTGACGGATGGTCTATGAGAAAATGAGACACCCAAGATTGTTGGCCTCTGGGGCTAAGGAGAGCTAGTGCATCTCTAAGGGAGGACTTGGAAGGAAGTGAGGAGAGATGGAGAGAAAGGCCAGAGCTTCAGTAGACACATGTAAAGACATGTCAATGCTGTGGCCATTCCACCACCCCACCTTCCTTTTGCCAAGTCTTGTCAGAAAAGTTATCCTGATAAGCGGGGTATAGTCTATGCTTATTAAACAACATATCAGTTTCCCTGTTTTGTTTTTCGTTGTAAAAGTAGATGAGTATATTTATTATATTTTTCTAAGGAAATAGGTTGATTTGCCTTTTTATATCTCTCTATTAATTTCTTTTTAAAAATATTTTATTGATTTTTTACAGAGAGGATGGGAGAGGGAGAGAGAGTCAGAGACATCGATAAGAGAGAAACATCAATCAGCTGCCTGCTGCACACCCCCTACTGGGAATGTGCCCATAACCAAGGTACATGCCCTTGACTGGAATCGAACCTGGGACCCTTGAGTCTGCAGGCCAACGTTCTATCCACTGAGCCAAACCTGTTAGGGCTCTATTAATTTCTTAATGAACTCAGTGGCCTTCAACAGAAGAAGAGACAAGTTGCCAAGTGAGATAATATTTCAATGATTTAGCTATATTGTCTATTTCAAACTCTTTAACACATACTTCTCTTATGAAACTGTGGTGTTTCCATGAAGAGTATAGTCACACTATACTCTTATTATGCGTTGGGTTCCAGACCACCAAAATAAAGAGAGAATCACAATAGACCAAATAAAAATATTTTTGCAAGTGAAGGGTCTTGTCTCCAATTTGTAAAATAAAATTAGCATCCGTGAAGCACAATAAAGTAAAGCACAATGACATGAGATATGCCTGTACTAATGACATTATAAAGTGGAGTATGGGGCTTAGCATGTCAGTAAATTACAAGGAAACTTTCAGCAATCCTCATCTTTCTAGTTTAATTACTTTTTCCATGATTTTTTCCCAACGACTCAGTCTGGAGCACAGGGACTGTGTAACCTCCACAGAACATGGAAAATCACCTGCACAGAAATGAACCCGAAACCTCTGTTCACTGGTTTACCATCTCAACTGTGTCTTCTTGATGTGCTTGACTTACTGTAGAGCCTCCGGATCAAGCCCCAGAGTCTCACAGCCAGACAGGTTCTGATCATGGAAATCCTGTAGCAAAATGCCCAGCACCAATTCCTCACTCATCATATACTTCATAAAACTGTCATCTTCCGACGGGACCCCAAACTGCAGGTGGTAGGTTATTGTGGCATTTTCCTCTCTGAAAGGCAAATTAAACAGAGAAAGTCAAACAAAACAGAATCGCACTGCTAGTTTGGAAACTGGTTTTAGCAATAACATTTCTTCTTTTAGTTCCTCATGTTCTTCCCCATACAAAATAGCAAAGGGTGTGCTCTCCTGGAAGAATCCTCTTCCATGGGCCTTCCACAAAATTATCCGGTGACTCTCACCTTCTCCTCCCCCTTAGAACACAGCCCGTAGGAGTCCACGGAGAGAGGCCACTGAAGGGAGAGATGGGACCCAGTGATTGTCAAGGGCAAGCTCAGGGTCCACTGTCTGCTCCAGCACAGCCTCTGACCCCCCAGGCAGGCCAGGAAAGCCCTGTTCTCCTCCTGTATTCCCTTCTGCATGTGCTCACACAACACCCCTTTCCCTGCCCCAACAAGTGCAGGTTCATCAGAGCAATTTGCTTTAGCCGGTTCATTAGTGTTTAAGGTTGGGCCCAAAGTTCCCTGCCTTCAGGGGTGCAGAACTCCTGGGCTCCAACCGCCCGCGCCCTGTACCTGCAGCAAATCCTACCTCCCTGCTTTGACCCTAAACTAAGAAACTTGTTCTGTCCCTTTTCCACCCCTGAGGCTGCCAGCGATATGCTCTCAAGAAGGGGACCTAAGGAGTTTTTCCCATTATCAAAATAAAAATAATCATAGGGCTATTCTCAGTTAATGAGTAGATGATATTATCTGTTAAATACTATGTCAATGTTTAGGTTTTCCACAATTATCCTATTACTTTCAAGATGAGCCAGGTTAAGAGCAAGCAATAAAATAATTAGGAGGTAGCCACATCTGAGACTCTCGCCCGAGGTGGTTTTATAGACAGGCCAGTCCCAAGAGTGTTGCCCCTATTAAGGACAAGCAAAGAGCTCCCTCTTGTGGCCAGAGGTCACCTTAACATTAACGTGGCTGACAATAAGTTTATACAGACAGCCAATGTGTCAAATTGTGGTTTCAATAAATGACAGTCAGACTCTGGGAAAAACAGTTTCAAGGAAGCCACTACAGGCAGGCTGAAAACTGTGCTTTCAAACTCTAAGCCAGCAAATCTAATTTACAGGTACTTCCTGTGTTTTACCTTCTAATTATCACTCAGGATGGTCACATATTGACTCACAGCCACCCTGTGCTCCCATGAGCAAAGGGTTGGCTTATATGGAAAGGCCTAGAGGCTGACTTTCATAAGACCAGACCAGATGCTTAATGAGAAGTTTGCTCCCACTGTCATTCTACCAAGTCAGTCTTGGGGTGAATGTACACAAGGCTGGATTCTGAGGGGAGGAGAGGGATTTTCAGGGAAGCAGAGAACTCTGTGGGCTTTGCCTCATCTGCCACCACCTGAGTGGGTCCAGCAGCGGATGAACCAATGGGCACTTCCCAGGTTTTCATTGAGGGTTGCTGGAACTGAGGTCAGGATTTGTGTCTACACAAATGTCGACAGGCCTGTTGCTGTCTCCTGCTCACAGGCAGCAACTGTGGGTGGCTTTGGAAGCAATGGCTTTTGTTCCTCAATTCAACACTATTGAAATTCTGCCTAGATTTTTTAAAATGTTTCCCAAATTTCTTTATCTAAAATACTAAAACCCTTGGGTTTTTCTTTCCAATAACTTTTAAAGGCAGATTCTGTAACAGTAAGTCTTCAGACTTTGAGCCATGTTTCACTCCTGTCTCTGATGAGTTTTCCCATTATACAATCCCATGTCCTCTAAGCCATAATAGGAGACTGGATTCTTGGAAAAGCCCTTCAGTCTAGGTGGCTCTCAACTCTGGCTGAGTCCAGAGTTGCACAGAGGAAAGTATGTTGGGTCTAATTATGCATTTCTCCATTTTCTGTTGGTGTTTTAATACCAAAGGTTTGAGATTAAAATGAGCAATATCAAAAAGCAAGTCACCTTACTTGGCCATAAAAAAGAATAAAGTCTTATTTGTGACAGCATGAATGGACCTAGGGTATTATGCTAAGTGAAATAAGTAAGTCAGAGAAAGACAAATACCATAATATTTCATTTATATGTGGAATCTAAAGAACAAAATAAACAAACAATATTGAAATAGATTCACATATACAAAGAATAGACTGATGGTTGTCAGATGGGAGGAGGTTTGGGAGACTGAGTGAAAAAGGTGAAGGGATTGAGAAGTAAAGATTGGTAGTTACAAAACTGTCAAGGGATGTAAAGTATATCATAGGGTTATACAGTTGAAATGAGTTTTTAGGGGTAAAGTAGGCAGGTTTAGGGAGTTTAAGGAATTAGGGGGTTCCTGGGGGAGAAAGGCATAGTTGGTCAGGGGCTTGGAGCTGCCAAAAGGATTTATTCACAGAGAATAAAAGGTGCACCACAGGATAAGGGGAGAGGAAGACATCCATTCACAGAAGATAGGGACAAGCCACAGGGTAAGGGGAGAAAGAGGAAACAAACTTTCACCGAGGACAGAGAAATGCTGACAAGTGGGAGAAAGAGGAAAACAGATTTTCACAGAAGATAGAGAATTCTACCACTGAAGGGGGAGAAAGAGAAGGTGACACTACAAGAGGTTTGAGCTTTGAAGTTGATATTCTACCAATAAGAAGGAAGCATCAAGAGACAAAATAACTGCAGCCTTTCTAAACCTTAGGAGAAATGAGCTTAGTGAGTTACTCCCTCTGGGATGCCCTCCCCACGTGGGAGTCTGTACTTGTTTCCAATAAATTTCCACCTTTTCATCTACTACCTTTTGTCAGTGGCTTCATTCTTCGAATCCAACCTGGACAAAAACCCAGGAAAGAAACCACCCTTGCATCTTGCTCAGAAAAAAACCACTTGATTCATTGTCAATAATATTGTAATAACTATGTATGGTGTCAGATGGGTACTGGAAATATCAGGGAAAGCGTTTTGTAAAATAAATGATTGTCTAACTACTATGCTGAACATCTTAAACTAATCTATAATAATAAAAGCGTGATATGCCAATTAGACCGGACAGCCAAATGACCTTCTGGAAGACCTTCTGGACAAAGCCAGGGCTGCAAGGCGAATTTCATGCATTGGGCCTCTAGTACAAAATAATATTGAATGTAAACTCTAATTGAGAAATAGTTTAAAAGAAAACAGAAGTCATCATAAGGTCATGTGTACATAGGTATCCATAAAGGAGGAGAAATAGTGTTGCCAAGGCAACCTGCCACTGTATGCTTTTTCAGACATCAGATCCATTTTCGTTTGTCCCCATTATGCTACCACCTGCTTTACATGCTTCCCCTCCCAGGTCTATTTATATTACGGCTTTGGAAATGTATGGTTAGAGATATCCTCAGTGGAATATTGCCTTTGATGATCCTATTCCAGGGATATCGTAGGAATAGTAGATGATAAAGCTTAGTCAGGTAAATTTTATCCTACAATACAAAAGGATAATCAAGTGACTTCTCTACAGTACATACATATGCCCTTTACTTTCCCTGTAGTATATATCTTTATATTTTTAATATTATACAAGGAACATGGACTCCTATATTACTTGTGTTCCTCAAAATCACAAGTCAAATATGGCTTCTATCTTTTCCATCACATCACTATCTGAGATCTATTTCTAGTTCTACCCTTAGCTCATTTACGCATTCTCTGTTAAACAGGAATGGTGTGCCTGGGACTGGCTTTTCCTCTCTTCTGTGTGACCTTGTTAAGTTATCTAATTAATCTGGGCTTCACTTTTCTCCTTTGTGAAATAAGTATCAGCACTGATATTCTACAATTCTATTGTTGGTTCCCCTTGTGCTTTGAGACTTGGGAGGTCCTTCTAGGTAAATGGTGGTGTTGTTTTCCAGGTTCTCCACATGCTTACCTGAAGTCCATTATTTCCACTGAAGTAAAATAACGATTCAGAGATGGAGATGAGCTGTACACATCTGTGAGCTGAAACAAACAGAAACAAGTAAAATAACTACACACATGACTGCTGGTTCTTATTGCCTATCACCTGATAAAGCAAAAGTACTCCTAGACAAAGGGGGTTCAACACTAGCTAGAAACTAACTTATCCAGAGACTCTGGGTCAAGAAGCAGACAAAGGTGGGCCTAGCCAAAAATTTGAACCAAAAATCAAGTTCACACTCATGAAAAAGAATCTCATTTGAAAAGGATCATGTGATCTGGCTGGGATTTTCAACATCTCATATGTATTGCACTATCACTTTGTGGCCTTAATGAAGAGAGTGGTCTGCAGCCTGCGTCCACCCAGACCCCACGGAACACGGGCAGGAGAGAACAGGGCAGAGGCTGGGAAGACAGCAGAACAGGCCACTCAGAGCCTGGCGCATCACTGGGCAAGGGCTTTCCCTCCTTTCTTGAGAGCTTAACTGTAAGAAGAAACTGCCATGCTAAGCCACAGGTAGGGCACTTTCCCTGGAAAATGGGACCAAGTGGGGCTGGTGTGTAATTGCAAAGATAATGGAGTTCTTATTTTATGCATGAAATATTGCCATCCCCAAAAATGACACCTATGTTCCTACTACCCAGGTTTCTTTGCTTCACATTTTACCACATCTAGTTCAGCCTTTCACTCTAAAAGAGAACAAACTAAACTACTCTTCTTACACACAATTCCTCTCTCGCCCAGTGCAAGTCATTGTCTCCTTCTCATGCATGTTTTTTTTTTTATAAATGTAATACATCCTGGTGCAATCGGCGATACATAATTTAATTTGTGTTTTATTAAAATAAAGTGTGCACCATAGTCTACACAATCTTCTATGACTTCCTTTTTCTTTTCACTCAAAATTATGTTTGAGATTCACCCACAATGGTACATCTAGATGAATGCCTTTCACTCTAACTCCTAACTTCTGCACAGATTCCACTAAATGGTTGCACCAACTTTCCCATTTACGTACAAACTATATTGAAGTTACCTTGAATACCTCTGTGCCTCTTTTCTTACACATATGAGAAGAAATGTCAAGAAATAGACTTGCTAGGTCTATGAGTAGACACATCTCCAAAGGAACTATCAATAAATTTTGCCAAATTGTTCTTCATCTTACTCTTCTCCCAGGAAGGTAGAAATGACCCATTTCCCACAGTCCTGCTGGTACTTAGTGTTACTTAGTTTAGATTTTTTGCCAGTTTGAAGAGTATAACATTGTGCTTTACATTGTTTTAATTTGCCATAAGCAAATTCTATCCATTGCTCTTGTGCATTTAGGCATCTTGGTTAACAGACCTTTGAAATGCCAGGAGTATTCCTCTTTTTCAGATCCACAGGGAGCATATAATCTTGTTAACTATTCTATAATTCAATCACAGAGATTTCCCTGCCTTGCTTTCTCACACCTTCTTGTAATCTTCCTTATGTTCCCTTCTTAATTCCCATGGTATAAAAGAAACCGCAAAACAGTCATTCCTGAGAGCATTTGAGATTTTTGTGTCCTGCCATGATATCAGTTTGCTCAAATAAACTCATAAAAATTTTCTACAGATTTGGACATTCTCATGTCCAGCCTTCTCTGTTCACTCCTTCCTTTCCTCCCTCCTTCCTTTCTTTCCTTTCCTTTCCTTTCCTTTCCTTCCTTCCTTTCCTTTCCTTTCCTTCCTTCCTTTCCTTTCCTTTCCTTTCCTTTCCTTTCCTTTCCTTTCCCTTCCTTCCTTCCTTCCTTCCTTCCTTCCTTCCTTCCTTCCTTCCTTCCTTCCTTTGTTAATCCTAAAAAACTAGCACAGTGTTTTGTACATAGTAGGCTATCAGAAAAAAATCAAGTTAAAAATTTAAGAGATGGATTAAATTAGATCACTTTTAGTGTCCACTGGAAGGTTCTTTTAGGTGGCATCGTCTTCTGCTATAATTAGGACATATTTATATATTTGGGAGCTGTTAACCACACTATCTACTTTGGGCCAATAATCAAACAAATAAACAAACACAACAGAAAAATGGGGATGTGGGGTGAGAAAGGGCAGGTCAGGAGGTGCTTCTCACCCCTAGTTCTGGTACCTCCCATACTGTGCCTATGAGGCTGGGTGCAGAGTGAGCTAGGAGCATAGTGAGCTGATTATCAGAGTCAGGCTTAATGACTAATTAAAAAACAGCTTCCAGAATACTTTAAGAGAAATACCCTCTCCTAGGTTATCATAGGTGCCATGCTAACTCCTGCCTCCAGCACATGCACATAGCTAACGGGCTGACTTTAAGCAGAGAAATGGCCCCAACCCTAAGCACTCAGGTGGGGAGATATGACAAGGGGATAGGAAAACTGTTCACAAACACAAGACAATAAAGCAAAAGAGGGGACATAGATTCCAATATACATTCCCACTTACTTTCCTTCTCCAGAAACTTTTGGAAGCTGGCCTAATGGAAGAAAGGGAGAATCTCGACCTGACAATAAAATAGTGATATCTCCAAGTTCCTCATTTTTGATCCTGAACATATTTGTTTAGGAAGCCATGGGGGGAGGCAGGGACAGGAATCTTTTCACTTCATTGCACCTTATTTTTATTATCTGCAAATCAGATAACATTTTAAAAATCTTTTGCGAGGTTCTTTCTATGCATCTCATATGCACCTGTGGGTACACAGGGAGAACTCAGTGATTCTCGTTGATTACAGAAGAAACCCACTCACAGACCTTGGCCCTGAAAGCACTCTCAGTTCCTTTGCCACTACACAGTGATAAGCCGAAAGCACCCATAGAGTCTGCTCTGTGTGAGAGATATGGTCTCAGGTGAATGATTAACATCCATTTCCCTTTGACATAGAGAGTGCAGCCTGTAACAGGTGACATGTGTGGTTGCTGATTCATTTCATTTCTGCTCATCAAATGCAAACCCTCAATTTAAAAAGCAACCAAGAGGAAAGCAGCAAGAGGCTCTTCACTTGCAGCTTGCTCCAGAAGCAGCTGGAAGGAAGGGAGGAAAAGGGCACTGCAGAGGAGATATAAACCAGGAAAAGGAGGAGGAAAGGAAACCCAGATAATCTTCCCAGAACACAATCTCCTGTGGTCAAAGCAGCAATCGAGGTTATCCTCTGGGAACTCAGAGTTGACTCAGGGGCAACTGAGATGGAAGCAGCTCTTTCAGTAGCTTTGGTCAAAGTCAAATAAAAGCCAAATGAAAAGGACTTGCCATGTTTGACCTAGCGCTGCAAAGAAGAGTGTAAGGGACAGCAGGCTGGCCTTGCTTGGATTTTCCTATCAAAACCTTTGGGTCTGGCTGTGAGCTACCCTGTCTTTGACAGGATGACCAGGATTTCCCTAACCAACCCTCCTGGTCTGGCTGCAGAGCACCCGTATTTCACAGAGGGCTTATTCTCCTGAACTTCCCACCCCATAAATCATGCCATATTCACACTCTTCCCTCACTCCCACACCCAAACCAGCCAGTAAGTCTTATTGAATAAGAAGACCTCTGAAGTCTCACTTGAATCTTCCTTCTTCTCCCTGACATCACCCTAGTTCAAGGCCCCCTGTTTCATCTGGCCTACCACAATGCTTCTAACTTACTCTATTGCAGTGTTTTCTCACCATTACACAGAAAGGTGAAAATGAAAGTTGACCCTGTCAACCTGCAGATTTTAGTGCTTTACCCAAGAGTAGGAAAACCGCCTTTCCTGCTCAGCTTCACCTCTGCAAGTCCCACCACATAGCATGTGGAGGCCATAGAACACTGCTGTGCAGACCCTCCTCTAAGACTCTCCTCCTTCAGGAGGCCTTCCACGTCTCCATCTCCACCTCAGTAGTCTAAATGCCCTCCCCCCACCGCCCCAACCCCACTTTGAAATTGTAAAACATCCTATATGCAACTCAACAATAGAATATATCACACCGTTTTGTACTATCTATTTAGTTGCTTCCCCTACTTGGGCTGTGAGTCCCCACTAACAGCACAGAGGCTGTGGCCCTGGCACTTGGCATGTGGTCTAGTTGCTAGACTCTAGCACATCATAGACCCTCAGTGAAGCTACAATTAAATCAAATGTAAGAGCAGAGTGAAGAAACAAAACATTATCCTCCCTCCAACTGGAGGCCAAGGCTCTTCCCTCTGGTTTTGCATGACAGAAAGTCCATTTATAAGTGTCCATTTCTGCCAAAATTCAGACCCAAAATATCCAAGTTTGAAGCGACTGTCTCCGTGGCTCTATGCCTACTGTTGTAACAGAATCCATATTCTAATGTTTGAACTCAGTAAACAATGCATAAGGTCCCATTACCCTTTTCGTGAGCAGGTAAGGCAATTCCTCTTCAGTAACACACTCCTCTGGAATCTTTAGCATGACCAAGAACGTTTTATTTGATGATAACTCAAGTATTTCATTTTCATCTTCATCGATGTAAGTTACTAAAAAGAGTGGAGGATGGAAAGAAAAGGTAAAAAACACATATGCATAAAGTAATAAACATATTCATTGGTTGCTACTCTTTAAAGACAAACAAAACAAAACAACGAGCACGAGTCAAGGATAAAGCCAGGCAAGAGTAAGCAAGTATGAACAGAAACGCTTTTCCCTCTTGGTCAAACCAAATAAAGACAGGGTCTTCCCTCATCCATGATAAACATGTTATTTGTTTGTTTTATGCCAAAGGAATCATCATGGGCCAGAACAGAGGGGCACTGGAATATGAGCATGTGAGCCCATGTCTTGAAATCTCCCAGGGAGACCTGGGCATGAAGTCATCACTCAAGAGTATGTCTCACAGGATAGGAATGTTGACATGCTCTGTTTACAGAAGAGAAACCCAACTGCACTCAGAGCCCCAGGGTGAACAATGAGTTCTGTGTGGCTGCTTGTGCCCTAATGACTGAGCTAACTGATTTTTATGCAGTCAGAGCTAAAGGAAAAGCACACAAAGTCAGGAGCCAGGAGCTAGAAGCTGGGACTCACGGTGCTAATTATGCTCCTAATACTGCCTCAGCCTCACCATCTGAGCCCACGCACAGACCACCTCTCTGACCCTGAGAAAGGTGTAGGTGGGTGGAACTTGCCTTAAATGTTTTTCTCAATTCCCAAGCTTTAAAAATAACATAATCAGCCTCTTTTACTTGACTTAGAAAAGACCCCAGTGGACTAATTCAGTGTTTCTGATGGGAGGGCGGGTGAAAAGAAGGAAGAATTCTGAGACTTACTCCCTGAGACAGTCTGGTAAGGTGAGACAAGAGGAGCGAGAGAATGTGCAGAGAAGACTTGATAGAGCAGCTGAGACTGCCAGCTTAGAAAAGCCCAGCTACTCAAGGCTGGTGCGCTGGCCTCTGGGAACTTAGGTTTCGGAAAGATTCCCACCATTCCCTGATAAGTCTGGCTCAACTCTTTGTACAAACAACGCAGCTTACAATGAATGTCTTTCCTTAGGGGAGTCTGGAATGTTAATAGGGCCAGGCAGAGGCTGCCTATATGACCAACCCCAATAAAACGCTGGGCACTGAGTCTCAAATGAACTTCCCTAGTGTAAAGAATTCACAGCTGTTGACACAACGTATTGTGAGAGGAATGAAGTGTGTCCTGTGGGATGCACCAAGAGAGGACTCTTGGACACTTGCTTCTCCTGCATTTCACTTTATATCCTTTTCCTGTAATAAATCACAGTCATCTCCACAACTACGTGCTGAATCCTGTGAGTCCTCCCAGCATTCACGGAATCTAGTGGTCGATCTTGGGGAGCCCAAACACAGGAAATACCCATGCATCTTTATTTGTGGTAAGTCATTCATTACACTATTTTGTGTGACAATAGCAGAAAACTTGGATCCCTATAGATCACATAAGGATCCCTTGGGGAATTAAATCTGATCACCTTTAAATTATATCTCTAAGCATCCATTTGCTTGTCACAGTTTGGTTTTCATAACATTTTAAATATTTTGCCCAAACCAAGAAAAGTTTCATTAGAAAGGTGTAATTCAGCATCTCTCTCCTCCCTGGTAGGGGAAAATTAGTAGAGAAAGTAGAACCCTTGAGAATGCTTAACTGATTCTCCAAATAATCCAGAAAGATGTCTTAGAGAGAGGGAAAGTTTTTTTTTTGTTTCGTTTGTTTGTTTTTTGTGTTTTTTTTTTTTTTTTTGTGTGTGTGTGTGTGTGTGTGTTTGGGTTGTTGTTTTATTTTTGTTTTGTTATTGTTTCCCCCCTTTACTTTTCACACCAAGGAATTGTTCATTCCTTGGGAAGAAGAAGAGAATCCATTACTAACATTTCCCCTAAAGACCTATGAATTCAATAGGATTCCCTGGGCCCTGCTCATAACACTTTTCATTTAAAATGATCTCACTGTCTACAGTGAACCTGCTCTTTTCTCTTTTCCAGTGTACACGCAACCCCAACTCAGCACCTTAGGCTGAGCCATGACCCTGAATTTACCATTACTTCAATGGCCACAGGTAGAGTGGCAGGAGAGCCCATGCCAGCTGCAGACAATAAGGGATGCACAATTTGCAGAGAATCAATAATAAAATGACCATAGATTGCTCTGCTGACATTCTTAACAATGTCAGTGACAAGATCCACCTCCCTACCTAGTGCCTCACCCTGTCTCTTCCCCAACTAGTTACCCTTTGGGTTCTGGGATGTGTGTACTCTGTCCCTTGCTGTGTCCACTCCAACTCCATAGTTACTAACACCTCTGCCACCGAGCCTCATCCTGAGAACCACAGAGCCCTAAGACATGAGATTACGGAGTTGAGAGGAAGGGAAGGGAGAGGAGAATGGCAAGTGTAGTTCCTGGTGAACTCACTTCTTAGTGAACCTGGATGAACAGCCCTTGGCTCTCTAGACAATGCCCTTTTCCCAGACAGCAGCATTTTCCACAGAATGCTCAGAAGTTCTACAAGTATTTGATTCCTATCAATGGGCTTGGCAATTAGGCAATGGCTGATCTTTGCAGATTGTCATCCCAGAGCACCTACTGAGCTGCTTAGGGAGAGGCTGAGACTCACAAAGGGGAGCCCTGTCCCACCCCTTTGCACCTTTTGCAACTCCACTGCCTATCATGATTCTCCCACAGGCCCAAACCCCTGAGGTGCCAAGTAAAATAAAAGTATTTCTCTGATTAAAAAAAATATATATATAGCAAAAGTTTGAAAATCTCTCTTATAGCATTAACATTTTAAGAATACAATTTTCTAAAATAGGAAATGAAGTTTGCACTCTAAGTGTTAAAAAGGTCTTCCCTGAATACCATCCTATGAACTTGGATGTCCCCTGAAAAACTGCTGAGGGAAATAGAATCCCTTCCTCTGCAGATTGCTCTGCAGATTGCTTTATGAGTAAAGGGACCAGATAACTTTTGGGAACGGAAGACAGCTCTTGAGTCTTGGACTTTAGAATCCTGGATGTTGAACATCTAGCTCTGTTGCATCATCCTTTGTTTTGGGCCCCAGATGCCAACAGACAAATCCGTCGACTTTTAGGATGGCATCAGCAAATTGTGACAGGACAGGGCTGCGTGACTCAACTACAGTTTCCACATCCACACGTGGGAGTTGATGGGAAGAGGGAGTACCAATGCTCACACAAAAACAATTGTCCTCAGCATGATGGAAGAGGTGTAACACCTCTTAACTTCTCCCCACCTCAAAACCAGCCTATGGCCTCAAAGAATGATCTATCCCACCTCAACAATGTCCTAAGTAAGTAAACACTACTGTCAATGTGAGGTTGGCACATGTTATCAATGTTTTCCTATTCCTTCCGGGGCCACACAACTTTGGGAAAGGATCTGAATGGATTGGAAGTGGGGAGAGCTGGAGGTGAATGGCAAATGCAGATCCTGAGGAAAGTTCCCAGGACCTCTCCAGAGAGACCCAGGGGTTCCCCTCTTGCTCTCATCCTCTGACTAGGTTTGCTGTGGAGAGCCTGGCTCATCTCCAATCCTCACGGGACTGAATCGCCCCCAAGAGTATCCCATCCCAGAGAGTTCCTCCCCCTACAATCGCTCACACATATAACCTAAAACAGTTTTCTTCTCTCCTGTTTTGAATTGAAATGATTGCCCACTAGAGGATGCTATTTTTATGCATCATTAAAACCTTAATACCGATAATCATAAAAAATTGGAAACTAACTACAAGATACAAGACTTTAAAATGGTGTGGAAGACTACCAATGCAGTCATTTAAAAAAAGAGACTTCTAAATTTATTGTGGTAATCATTTCACAATGTATATAAATATTGAATCATGATGTTGTATATCTGAAACTAATAGATGTGATATGTCAATTATACCTTAACTTAAAAGTTTTTTTTAATGTTCATAAATAACTTTTAATAAATTGGAAAAGTGATCTCAGAATACATTAGAATCCACAAGACTACAAAGAAAAATCTGATCTCACACTATTTTTTATGTTCATGATAAATAATTTTAAAATGAGATAATTATGTAAAACGTACAGTAAGCATCATGTTTTTGTTTTGTACATACATAAACATAAATACAATACAGTTATGTCCAAAATAAGCTCAAATAATGACAGCTTACAGATACACAGTTCTGTCAAGTTTTTAAAACTTTCAAATATGCTATTCATCATTTTATCATGATAATCATAAACCAGCTATAAAAGATGAAATACAATAATTATTTTAACTAAACAAACTATAAGAAATTAGGCAATCAAATAGGTTTAGAGATACAAAAATATATCTATTAGTGTTTAAATAAGTTAAAAACGTAAGAAATCGCCGAAACCAGTTTGGCTCTGTGGATAGAGCGTCAGCCTGAGGACTGAAGGGTCCCGGGTTCGATTCCGGTCAATGGCATGTACATTGGCTGCGGGCACATCCCCAGTAGGGGGTGTGCAGGAAGCAGCTGATCAATGATTCTCTCTCATCAATTTTTCTAACTTTCTCTTCCTCTCTGTAAAAAATCAATAAAAATATATATTTTTTTTAAATGTAAGAAATCTTCAAGATCCAATGGGCAGAGTTTAAAGTAAAACAGCGGTTTCCATACTACTTCTGGAGCTTATAAAACAAACAACAAAACAAAAATCATGTATTTCTCCCATCCATATAACACATTCCACACCAGTTTTAAATTCAAATTATAAATAATGAAATAGCAATGAATACATATACCATTTTGGTGTAGTCATAAGCATTAAACAAGTTTTCTTAAAATGTGCCCATTTAGTCACGTGTACATCCTCTTACCTCCAAAAAGAAATAAGCTTATGCTGATCACTACAATGAAACCTAGGAAGATAAGGGCTATGGCCATCCACAGTTTACACTTTCCAAACAAAGGCCTATTGCAGGAGCTCCAAGGGCTTTTCTGGTTGGCCTGGAAAGCAGAGGGAGACTGCGAGTTAGCCATTCAGTTTCAACAAGCGTGTTTGAACACTTAGTATGGGCCAGTGACACAGAAGTGAAGGCAGCGGATTCTGACCTCACAGGGCTACAGTCTACTGAGTCAAGTTCACAAAGGGGTAAAACGGAACTTCACAGAAAAGTTAGCAAGAAATGCCTTGGGGGCTCTGAGTTGGGCAACCTACAGGATGTTGAAGGGTGGACAGAAAAGTATTTCAAAGCCACAAAAGAGCATCCCTGGTGTTGATTCTTAATGGAAGTGACAAAGAGCATCAGCGGATTAATTTCTGGGTTTCAGGGGCAAGCAATGAGAGTTAAAATTAGAAAGAGTGAAAGGCTGAAGAATATTTGAGAGGGTTCTGAATGCCACCACAGCAGTTTGTACTTAATTGGGGTGTCCTGGGGACCTGTTGCAGATTCTGGAACACAAAGCTGAATGAAAGATTAAAAAAAAAAAGGCGATGTATAGTTTAGAGTGGACACGCCAAGAAAAAGCTAAAAGGCTACTGCTGTGACTCAGACTCTATGTAATAAGGGCCTGAGAAGGGAAATGAAGGGAAGGATGGAAGAGACAGCAGGAAGTAAAGCTATTAATGGGCATAGTGAGGCACAGTGTGGGGTCAAGTAAATAATTACAGCCAATACCACTTCCCTTTATCCTAGCAGCCCTGCAAGGGAGGCCTTAGCCCACTTCAGAGAGACTGGTCAAGACGAACCCCTGCTGAGTGTCACTGCCCAGCTGGTGTCTCTCCCTTTCGTCCACAGCCGCACTGTGTCACTGTGCAGAGCTCCAGGTTATGGGCGAGCCAGGCTCCTCTGCTCCCAGCCCTGCCACCTGTCCCTCAAAGGCCCCCTGGCTTGTCTCCCCCTGGGCCTTTCAGTAATCCCCACATGGACACCATGGGAAGCAATGGAATATGATATGGGAAAGTGTGTTTCTGTATCAGAATCTCACTTATATACCACTTAATGTCCGATGACAATCAGCAAGCTACTAAAACTCTCAGCCCCAATGTCTGCAACTGTAAAACATAAATAATAAATCTATTTTATGGGGTGTTGTAAAAACTAGAAATCATATCCATGAAGCACTTGCTAACAAATATTAGGACCTGAACCAATGGGCATGACCATGACTGCGTGTCCCGCTGTCTCTCCCCCCACCACCACCACCAGCAGCAGCACTTCCAGAGGCTCTCTCTCAAAGTGACCAACACCTTGTTCAGATCTCTCCCATCAGGATTTCGGTGGTGGCCATCAGAAACAGACACTGTCTGTCCACTATAGTTCACATGTTCTCAATGAGTGGCTCCCAGGCCTGGCTGCACATCAGAATCACCTGATGAGGAATTTAAACTGCACAGACCTAGGCTTTACCTGGACCCAGGGGACCAGGGTGTAGGAAGGTGGGGGCGTGCCCCAGCTTATGATTTTCACCCTCCCAAAGTGAATTGATTGTTTTGCCAGGGTTGAGACCTCTGGTCTGAAGCCACCCCCATTCCTCTGGGGCCAGGCCAGATCTCTCCTGGTGGAGACCATGGAGAGATGCCCTAGTCCACGAACTGTCCACGTAGCTCACCTGCCGCTGCCCTGTCTAGTTTCATGTTCAAATATAAACAGATACTGGCCTTATCTTCCTAGGTAAAGTGAAACCACATGGAGGGAAGGGTGTGCTGTCCCTTCCAGGTGGTAAACCTAGAACCCTGGCTCTTAAACTTTCCTGTTTTTGTATCTCACTCTTGTGTCTCATGCAGGTAACAGGCAGGTCATAGTGTTGCTGAGTTACAGAGGGCTCCAAAAATGTTAAGAATGTATCCTGAGAAATTCTAGAGTGGAGGTCACACTTTGGAGCACCCAAGTGCACTCCATGCTGGCTCTAGGGATCAAGGGTGCGGGAGCAATAGACGCCCTGGGACTAACTGAACAGATGAAAACCCTCCGGAGGTGTTTCTAGAGTCCAGAGGCGAAGCCACATCTCATCTCCAGCCGAAGGCAGAGAACTGCCCTCAAGTCACCAAAGGCAAGAGCTCAATAAGGCCCGGGGGAGGGAGGGTACAGGGGAGGGAGGGAGTCTCAGAGCAAGGAACTTTCAACTTTTCAGGACACAGAAACATATCTTCCTGTTTACAGAGCCCCCCAGACACTGGCCATTTTAGTGCTGAGACGAGGGGCAGCCAGGACCATAAAGATGAGTGCAGAATGGTCCCGTGTCTCAAGTGAGTCACAGAATGGGCATCCGTGCGCCTCTGTGATTTTCTTGCCCCTTCACTTGTGCTGTCCCTTCGAAGTGGTAAACCTAGAACCCTGGTGGTTTGAGACCACAGTTCTGTGATTTCCTGGGAGAAGTCAGCTCAGAATTACACAGTCCTCGCCTGTAGGAAAAGCCTCTTCTGTCCAGCCAAAGCTTCCATCCCACAGCCTGGCCCCCGAACCGGTCTGTCACAGCAGAGCCCACTACCCCTTGCATGACTAATCTTCACAGACTTAAAGTCAATATAAAGCAGTCTGTTTGCCACTCCTGACCTGACACTACAGTGCAGTGCTTCCCAGTTGTCTATTCTTTAGAACCAACCCAGGAATTAGTATTTTCGCAGGTGTCCCCAGGAGAGCCCACTGTGCCCTGAGGGTGGACAGTCTTCGACGGAGGAAGTGTGCACTACACACTACACACTACAAGAATGTGTGTGCTATCTGAATCTCCCCTCAAAACCCGATCACGAAGATGCACTGCCTCCTTCACTGGCTTCCTCGTCTTCTCTTGTCCAAATTTTAGGCCATGAGGAAAGGCCACAGGCAGGTTCTTCTGCAAGGTGCCTTGGAGATTTTTGCAAACTGCATCTGACATTCTACAGTGGCACTGAATGGCTCAAGAATGTGTGTGGTTTTCCTCTGAACATTCCCCAGACATTCACATCCCTCCTCAGATAAGAATCCAAACACATGACGCCGAGTCCTTCAATAATGGCTAGGCTACTTATTTCTTGGGTACAAAAATCTTTTCTTCTCTGGCTGAGTCAGAGGCAGATATCACATAGATCTAGGGACATCTAGCATGCAGGAAACTGGATTTTATTATCTTCATTGTGGGACTTAATCCACTTGTTGATCCAAGCACATAGGAGCCAGTTGATTCTTGTCCTAAATTCTGAACCACTCATTGCAATGGGGCTAATTTTCAGGTAGCTTGTTTATATAAAATCTTGCCTGCCTCAAAACGATCAATGTGCTGGATTATTATGATGATGATGGAGATGATGATGTTTTTATTTCTTAAAATGTCTCTGGGACTTGTATTTGGAAACAGGTCAGAGCTTGTGTAATGAGCCATAAAAAAAACAGTCTCACTCTATTACCCATAATTTCTTTTTCATTTTTGACCCAACTGTATTGCCATGTTTACAGTGTATCAGACAAAGTGAAGTTCAATGACTTATATTCCTTTCCCTCTAGCCCCAAACCCAGAACAAGAAAAGGAAATACATTCTCTCCACCACCTTTGATACTCTCAGCTCAGCCTAAAAAAATAGCCATGAGATGGAATGTCTTCTTCCCAATTATCTAAAGCTGTTCCTTACTTCTCCCCCCTCTGCCCATCCACCTGCAACTCCATCATTCCAAATATGCTCCCCAATTCTTAAATAAACTTCTGTAAATTTATGAACTGACCGAAATTAGTAATATAGAACTCAAGTTGTTATATGTAAATAAGTCACATACTGTATTTACACATTTAAATTATATATTGGTATATATCTAGCTGTGTAAAACAAATCAACAAAAACAGCATAGGTTTGGGACCTAAAAAATCTGAGTTCAAATCTCAGATTCACCACTAAGTGAACTTGAGTCTCATCTGTCAAAGCAAAAGACATACTCACATTTGCTTCTTACGTTTGTTGTGATAATAAAACACATTTATGTATAATACATATTTGGCACATGATAGGTACAAAACATATGGTTAATAAAAATATATAGACTTGAGTTTATATTTAAAAAACTGGAGCCTGGCCTGTTTGTCAATGTTTGAACATCAATCTATACACCAGAAGGTCACAGTTTGATTCCCAGAGAGGGTACATGCTAGGGATGTGGGCTTGATCCTTGGTGTGAGGCAACCAATCAATGATTCTCTCTCATCATTGAGTCTCTCTCTCTCTCTGTCTTCCTCTCTCTCTCTCTCTCTCTCTCTCTCTCTCTCTCTCTCTCTCTCTCTCTCTCTCTCCCCCTTCCTCTCTGAAATCAATAAAAATATATTTTTTTAAAATTGGAAGTCTTAACATATAGTTTAAGGAGACCACACACAAAATTCTTAAAAGTCTGAATCTTGTGTTGGGCTACCCAACACTTTAAATAACTCTATATTAATTGATTTTTCCATTTAAAATACACTTCAACTTTATTCTATAGAACCAAAGAGAAAGGTTAGGTAAGGGTTTTTTTTTTTTCTTTCTATTTTTTCCCTTTATAAAAAGTCCCCTCCCCCCATTCATGCATTTCTAGACTGTCCTCCAAGTGCTCATGTAACCCCCTCACCTTCATGCCATTATGTCACTCACCACTAGTTTCCCATATGGTGACCTACAAAGTAAATTCTCAAGGAAGTCTAGGATATCTGTGTATACCTGAGTCTGGAGGAAGTTACTAGTACAGCGATTTCAACCTGTGTGCTGCAGCAGGCACACGGATGTGCTGCAAAAATTTTGAAAACATGAAATATCTGATTATTTAGTCAGGGTCACTGACTTCTTTTCCCTTAGATGGTCAAATTAAAAATTGACAATAGCCAACACAATAGCCATCTGGTGTGAATAAGTCAAAATTATACTTTTTTTTGTTAGATTGGCAAAAAATAACAAAAAAACACATATCTATTGTGCTATAGAATCTTCTTAGTAACTAGTTTATGTGTGTCATCAGATGAAAAAGGTTGAAAATTACTGAATTACAACATGAAAGAGCAATCTGTATTAGGGAGGTGCTAAACAATTCTAAAATACTGATACGGTGTACCCTACGTATGCTTGGCATTTTCTTCCACTCCACTGTTTCCACCAAGGCGCGGCCAGCCCTGGGGAGAAGCCAGGGTAACCACATTACATTACCAGCCCTGGAGAGCAGGGAAAACAGACCTCAGCGCCTTGCCCCAGGACACATCCTTCAGCTGTGAAGCAGTCGCCAGAACTCAGATCTCTGGATTCAGTCCCAAACCATGAAGTCTTTGGATTGTCCTGAATCCATTTAACATGAGACAAGTATTCCCAGTTCCCATTCCTGACACTGCCTTGGAGGCCACTTGCCCAGGATTAGACTATCTCTCTCCAACTTCCCTTCTCCAGAGGTGCTCAAACATAAGGCACCAACTTACTCTCCAAGGTACCTCTAGGCAACTGTAAAAGCAGACGTTGCCGTATTCCCAGGGATCAGTGTGGAAGCAAAAACAATGCTTTCACCGTGTGAATGTCCTGCTTATCCCTAAAACCAACAGTGGAGCAGCCGGAGCGGGAGTGGAGGAGCAGGGCAGAAATGCCAGGTTGGAACCATCTGCACGGGGAGTTCCACGGAGCTAGTAAAACTCAAGCCAGTCTTAAGGTGAATCACAAGGTACGTGGCTGGGAATTGCAAGCCTCTGCTGTTTTACAAGCGTTTGATGAGAATGAATAATGCTCCCCTCGCAGCGAGGGCTGAATAAGAGGAGTTCAACCAAAACATTGCCAAGGACTTTCCTGGAGATGAAAATAAAGCCGAAGCAAATGAGGCGCAGCCTCATATTCTTTGGCACAAAACCTTTTTCAATGATTTTCCTTCCACTGAGCAGGGCAAGTTTATACCCCACCTCCAGCCCCGGGCTCTTTTTGTTCCAGATGCTTTCTCCACTCTGCCCATCTCTCTTGCTGTGAAGTCCAGTGGCCACGCTGGCAAGTGTGTGTGTGTGTGTGTGTGTGTGTGTGTGTGTGTGTGTGTGTAGGGGCTGAGCGCCAGGCGGGATGGGCGGGGGTAAGAGGACCGGGAGGAAGCAGCAAGGTAGGAACGAGGGAATCAAGGAGGTTCTGGAGAAAAGGGGAAGACGCCATCTATCGCTCTAGTTCTACTTGAGAAAAAAGAAGAAAAAAGAAACCTGAAAGTTACAGGACTTTTTTAAAAAACCATTCTCTGGGGATTCTCTCTTGGAAGAGAGGAGCCACACACCTCCTAGGTGGGATTCTTCCAAGTTCCGTGGGAACCAGGGGGCTGCGCGGGGCCTGGGGCAGGCCCGGGCTGGAGGGCATTCCGGGGTGCGCCCCACTGAGGGCTTCCCATCGCGCACCCCCGCACCCAGAGTCGGCGGCGCCGGGGAGCGGGCTGGGAACCCGACACAGAGGAGCCAGGCTCGGCTCCTGGCGGGGAGCCCGGACCCTGGGGCGCGGGGCTCCGTGGAGGAGAGCTTACCTGGGCTGGACGGGGCTCCTCGGCAGAAAAGGGGACAGGGATGACCTGAGCGGCTCCATTGAGAGGCGTCTGCTCGTCCGGCTGCCTCTCGAGCACCGAGAGCTCCAGCGGGTCCCCGGGCGGCGCGGGCCGGGCTCCTTCCATGGACGGCGGAGGAGGACGGAGCCCGGGGAAGCAGGCGGCACACCCACCCCAGGGTGCAGAGTCCGCAGCGGCCTCCCGGGCGGCGGGCTCTCTACCCCGTGGGTGCGGGGCGGGGCGGAGGGAGGAAGACGTCGGGCGGCGGGCGGGGCCGCGGGCGGGGAGGGCGGTTTTTCTGGTTTGTTGGGGCGCTGCCCGCGCTCCTTTCCCTGTTCAAGCAGACACGCAGCAGGAGGGCCTGGCGGGCAGCGGCTGCGGCACGGATGACCTGGCAGCGCGGTGCCATGGGAGAAAGTTGGCATTCCACCCCCGGGAGCTGCCCGGGAGCTGTCTGTTTCTGGGATTTGTCCCAGCTTTCGCCGCCTAGCAAAAGTTCATTCATTTCACCGAAACCGGTTTGGCTCAGTGGATAGAGCGTTGGGCTGGGGACTGAAGGGTCCCAAGTTCCGTTCAGGTCAAGAGCATGTACCTTGGTTGTGGGCACATCCCCAGTAGGGGGTGTGCAGGAAGCAGTTGATCGATGTTTCTCTCTCATCTATGTTTCTATCTCTCTATTCCCTCTCCCTTCCTCTCTGTAAAAAATCAATAAAGTATATATTTTTAAAGTTCATTTATTTCATCAACAAATAATCTGCCAGCAGGAATCCTGTGAGGTTCTGATCAGCTGAAGGTAGCAGCACGCAGGAAGGGCTGCTTCCTTTCAGGAGGCTGGCAGAGGCAGGGCACAGCTGGCTTTGGAGCCAGACTGCCCCAGTGAACCCCTCTCTCAAGTTCCTCTCTACGAGACCGGGGACATCACTGTTCAGTGCTAGTTTCCTCGCCCGGAAAGTTGGCATCACATCAATGCCCACCGAATGGAGTCGTTGCCCTGGTTAAGAGAGTGGCCTAAACATTGGCTATTATGCCCAGCTGGTGTGGCTCAGTGGCTGGGTGTGACCCACAAACCAGGAGGTCATGGGTTGATGCCTCGGTTGTGGTTGCGGGCTGGATCCCCCAATAGGGGGCATGCAGAAGGCAGCTGATCAATTATTCTCTTTCACCATTGATGCTTCTCTCTCTTTCTCTCTCTCTCTCTCTCTCTCTCTCTCTCTCTCTCTCTCTCTCTCTCTCTCTCTCTCTCTCTCCTTTTCCCTTCCTCTCTGAAATCAATAAAAATGTATTTAAAAATAAACTAAAACCTTGGCTATTATAATCTACCTTTAGGAATAGGGAATAGAGTCACAGACACACACACACTCCGACCACCACCACCACCACTACATACATACCTGAGGGGAAAGTATACACACACACACACACACACACACACACACACACACACTCCATAGTTCACACACACTCCATAGTTCAAAACTTCTGGTTTCCTGAGCCTGGGATTATGTTAGCTAAGCTTGGGACCTGCAGATCCTCTGGAGCTTCTGAGCAGGCTTGCCTCCCTACTTCACACACATATTGAGAACAGTTTGAAGTGTGGACAGGACACATAAAGATGTTGACTTGTGTCCAGAAGTCTGGCACCCTCGATGCCTTCTGTTCAGACACTGCCTAGATATTGGGTCACTACCTCTTGTGTTCCTGCTCCCAGATCACCTGCACTTTGGACTCTATCTGCCTGCTGAGTGGGTCCTTTGGTGGCAGCCACTCAGCTGCTGGCCTGTGCTGACTTCTGCCATCTCTGCTTTTCTCTGTTAGAGGCAGATCCTGCAAAAATCCATTACATTCTCAGCTGAGAATTTTTTTATGGAGGAGCAGGGAACCAAGAGGGGATGTCCAGGCAGCTAAGGACCAGCTACAGCAGAAAACCATCAGACCCCTGAGACCTACTGGACACTGAGAAGGGCCCTCCTAATAGGATCTGTAATAAAAATAAAAAAAATAAAAAGTTGCAGCCACTGTCAGAACTGCAGCCCAGTAGGGAGGATTAACTATTCTCACCTCTCCCCAAACTGCCAGTTTCCTGCCTGAGACTCCTCTTGGGAACTGGACATCAGCCTTCCAGACCTCAGAGCAGAGAAATGAATCTGGTGTGCAAAGAGAGAATCTGAATGTGCCTTTCCCTACAATAACTGGCATTCAGTCTTCCCTCTCCAGTATTCAATAGTCAGTAGACTCCTCTGCTCTGACCAGATTCCTCTTCCGGAAGGCCCTTGCCTAGCCCATTCTGTTTTCACTCCCACTTTTGTCTATAATGTTTGCTCTGCTTGGAATCTTTTCCCTCCCACTGCAGCCCACTTTCTTGCATTGATAATACCCATTATATTTAAATCCTAGCTGAAATATTTTTTCTACTAAACCTTCTCTGACTCCTCTCTTCTAGCAAAAGCTACCCACAATCTCCCCAGCTACCAATACTCATTACACCTGCGCTTAATATGTCACATATTTAGTCCAATTTAATTTAACTAGCAATATTGAGTGCTTGCTTGCTATGTGTCAAGCATTCTTCCAGATGCTCGAGATAGGTATAAAGAGATAGCTGAATAAAACAAAATCGCTACCATTGTGAAGCTTACATTTCATGAGGAAAACCAAAGTTAATAAATAATATTTCTAGAATATTGGAAGGTAATGTTTGCTATGGATAAAAAGGTAAATCAGAGTACCGGAGGCTGGAGTGCTGAAGGGTGGAGGTTGGGGGAAGGGAAAGAGTTGCAACTATAAATATGATCAAGTTACCTCACTGAGAAGGTGAAATAAATATGTCCTGAGAAAGTAGTGTATATTGTAGTGACTATAATTAATAATACTGTATTGCAACCTGGCTGGTGTGGTTCAGAGGTTGAGCATATACTTATGAACCAGGAGATGATGGTTCCATTCCCAGTAGGGCACAAGCCCAGGGTTGTGGGCTGGATCCCCAGTGGGGGCATGCAGGAGGCAGCCAATCAATTAATTCTCACTCATCATTGATGTTTCTATCTCTTTCTCCCTTTCCCTTCCTCTCTGAAACCAATAAAAATATTTTTAAATGTTAATGATACTGTATTGCATATTTGAAAATTGCTAAGAAAATAGATGTTAAAAATATTACCATGAGGAAAAAAATTGTAACTATGTAAGGTGACATGTTAACTAGACTTACTGTGGTGATCATTTTATACAAATATCAATTAATTATGTTGTACACCTGAGACCAATATAATGCTATATATCAAATATGCCTTAATTAGAAAAGAAAAGGTGCAACTTGAACAGAGTTAAAGGTGGTAAGGGAGCTAGCTGTGCAGGTTTCAGAAAGAAAAGGGAACTCCAGGACAAAGGAGCTGATACTGGAGCCTGTGTGACTTTTACTTTCTGAGAATCGGGAAAGAGGTCAGAATGGCTAAAGTGGAGTAGGAACAGTAATTTTTTTTTTTCTTGTCTGACTTCTTTATGTTTAAATGTCTTGAGGTATCTGTATTCCCAGTACTTATCTCTGCATCCATCACAGTGCTCTCTGTGTTGTTGAACTTGGTAATTGCAGGCTCTCAGTCTCAATGGGAAAGCCCTCTGTCATGTCAGATGGATTGTAGCTATCTTCCAAGCAATCTTTTCTCCTAATGTTTTCTTCACTGCCACAAAGGATAAAAAAAAAAGCTACTGTTTCTTGTCACAAACACACTCCAAACTAGATCTCCTCATGCCTTCTGAGAATTTATTGTAAAGTAAGGTTTATGTAATCTGTAATCCAGACTACATTTCCAGAACCCCATTAGCCTAAGCCCTGTACATGATTGGCATCTGTATGATAGCACAGGTTTCGAACACAAGAAGAGTTAGAACTCTCACAATCCAGATGTTCTTGGACAAGGTGTTCAATGTGAGATTCTTTCCTCGTTGCAAAATAATTCCTACCCAGTAGAGTTAGGAGGATTAAGTGAAGCAATTAGAGCAAAGCATTTATTATTGTGCTTGACAAATAACAGAGACTCAGTAATTTTTATTTTCCATGATCATAAGTATCTCTGTAACTACCCTGACATTTAGTATGCAGCAACAACCCTTGATTTAACATATTTTCTTTCAATATTGATTTGTGTTCTTATCCTGCCATATTTTCTTGATCACTGACACTTGCTGACACCTCCCAATGTAGCTCCAACCACTTAAAGTCTTACTTGCAACCTGTTCCTGATTTCTCGTAACTGCAAGCTTCTTCATTTCCATACAGCTGACCTAGAATGTAGATTAGTGTCCAAACCTCAACTTGAGGAGTTTTGCATCCTGTTAGTCTGGTTCCAAACTAAGAATTCAGGATGAGTTTGAAAGAAATGTATTTCCCTGGAGGTAGTTTAAATTAAACAATTATTGGTGAAAGTTAAGAATTAGTGAATGAGTAACCAAATTCTACCTGGATTTATTTGTGCAATTTCTTCAAAATATATTTCTATGGGGGATTGTTTTTTTTAAAGGAATTGTTCTTTCATGGATATTTTTTTAAATGTGCCTTTTAAAAATGTACTGCTCTTGAAAAATAGTTATTTTTAATATATTCAAATTATTACTGACTCAATTTCTTTAGTTTGCTCAAGGAGTCAAATGTAAATAACATTTAAAAATTAACCAATGGGGGGAAGATCCAAAATGGTGGCCAAAAGGATGGCAGGATGCAAGATTGTGTGTGAGTGAGAGTCCGAAAGGAGAGTGTGTGGACATGTAGGGAGTGTCTGTATTTGTGAGTGAGGGACAGCTATATTCCACAGGACTGTTGGGGACTGGCAGACCAGGCTCCCCTGGCCTGGCCGCTTCTACTAATGCTGAAATCTTTCCCGGAGTAGCCAGCTCTGCTGTAGAGATTGTGCCATCTTAAAGGGGAAAGCGGCTATGATTGGAAGCCCAATGTTACCTTCATACCTCCGGGAGCCTACAACCACATCACCCACAGACCAGCTGCCTCAGCTGTGAACCCATGAACACCAAGACTCCAGCCGCTCCAGCTGTGGGCACCTAAAAGTTTGTCCAGGGGGAGACAAAGCAGCACAGATGCAGAATATGCAGATGGGCCCTGCACCTTCTCACACAGCAGACAGAAGGAACAGCTGAATCAAACAACATCCACCCAGAATTGGTGAATTAAACACCATTGGTGAGGCAATCCATGGAGGTCATAGATCACGAGCTCTGTTTCC